TCCTTAAGCCACAAGGCTCGAGATTTCTGTCTCCACGAAATCTCCTCCATGATAGCAATCTCAGCAAACTCCGCCTGACACTTCGCCCTCCTTTCCTTCAAATCGTCCCCCAAAACCCATTGACCCTCCATCCTGTCAATATCAGCAATCTCAAAAAAAACCTGATTCTTCCTCCAAATAAGAATCCCGAACACCTCTTTATTCCAGATCTTAATGCTTTCCTTGAAAAGACGCAATCTCTCTGCAAGAATATGACTAGGGGTGCCAACCACTCCAAACCCATCCCACCAGCCTCAGACCCGATCCCGAAAACCTTCAGCACGAAGCCACATATTCTCGAACCTGAAAGGAGATCTACGTCTACACAACCCACCACAGTCCAGCATCAACGGGACATGGTCAAAAATAGGGCGAGCCAAAGTAGCCAGAGTAGCATCAGAGAATGTCTCCTCCCAGTCACCTCACAAAAGGAATCTATCAAGCCGAGACAAGGTAGGAGGAGAACGACCACAAGACCACGTAAAAGGACCTCCCTCCAAAGGAAGATCAACCAGCCCAGAAGCATCAATAAACTCCGAAAAGGCCTCCATGTCAGTCGTCCACCGACCCCCCGTCGATCTCTCAAAAGGAGAACGAACAACATACGTAGGCAAACATGCACCATTGAATGTTTTCTTGGAAATGTTATGTTAATTCCTCTAAAATTACTGGAAATAAATATAGGCTTAGCATTGACCCTTAGTGCAATTCTAATTTATTTTTGAAACTCGCTAGTCTCACCACATATAGAACTCTAGATTCTATGTTCAAATACATATCCTAGATAATATTTATTATTTGTATAAGTGTTTAATTTCTTTGTAAAGCCACCCAAATTATCCCTTGGGACCCTATCATACGTTTATTCTAAGTCTATAAAAACCATATGTAGGATAACTTAGCTTACTCTTACAGTCTTCAACTAATTGTCTTATTAAGTAAATAGCTTCCATTAATGATCTCTCTCGCCAAGGACGGAGCTAGGGAAGGCACAACATACTTGACAAAAAATAAAATAAAAAATAATCAACTAAGATGACAAATATAGATTGGTCATATATAATCTCATATATATATAATCTCAAATAAAAAGAACCAAGCAAATTTGACAAATATAAGAACCAAACAATTGATAATATGTTCATTAAATACAATTACAACTATCCTCGAGGGGTTCCTATATTTTTTTTCTTGATAAGTAAAAGTTGAATAGAAGAGCACTCAAAAGGGGAACGCGTCCCTAATACAAAAAGTGAAAATTTAAACTAAGGACTAGTAGAATCCAAATGATCAACTAAGTCATCAGTCGAGGAGCAAGTGCTTCCTCTCACGTAACAGAAAATAGAACGAAGAATATGAAGTTTCAAGTTCACCAAAGACGATTCCTTTCCTTCGAAATTTCTACTATTCCTCTCTCTCCATATACACCACCAAACACAATGTGGAACTATCCTCCAATAGTCACAAGCGTGACCTTTCACTGGGCATCTTCTCCACGCGTTAATCAATTCTATAAAGGACTGAGGCATTACCCAATAAACACCAAAAATGCCAAAGATGAGATTCCAACAATCATACGTCACAGGACAGTGCATAAGAATGTGATCCACAAACTCACCATCTGTTTTACATAGACAACACCAATTAACAATGGTATTACCTCTCTTTCTCAAATTATCTGATGTCAAAATCTTACCCCAGGTGGCAGTCCAAACAAAGAATGCGACTCTAAGTGGAGCCTTAGAGCGCCATATAGTCTTTGATGGGAAATCATGACCAACGAAATTGGACAGACTCAAGAACATGGACCAAGGGGTTCCTATATTTTGAAAGCAATGCATGATAGCCTCATTATCAATACCAATAAATATATCTCTTTCTATATATACAACATAGCTATCATTCATAAATTTATCTCCCATCCTAATACGCAATTGATAATTTACAATATTCATAGCAAAAATGCCCTCTCAATTGAATTCTGAAAGTTTGACATTAATGATTGGAGGAAGAGGAGGAGGAGAAGAAGGGAAGAGAATGATGAAGGTGAAGAAAAATCCTAAAACCAAATAGCAAATGGATGGTTCCATCTGAGAAGAAAGAGAGAACATATCTGAAAGAAGCTAAATTTTGTTTAAGGCAGAAACAAGATTAACTTAAATAAATCATTCACTTGGAATATGAGACAAAAGGAGATCAAGAGAATCGAGGAAAAAATAAATAAATCAAGAGAACCAAATATTGAAATGGAAGGAAAATTAAACGAAGAAAGTTGTTAAAGAATTAAACGAAGTCCAAAATCAATTATTTTTTAGTTTTTTAAATTACCTAGTTCTTATATTTCTTCCTTTTTTTATAAGTAAATATTATATAAAAAGCGTTCAAAAGGGCCACACATCCCTCAAAAGCTACACAAGGCCAAATAGGGCCTTTAGATCCTCGAGTCCAAAAAATCTACAAGTTCCTCCATGGATTTACAATTTCTCCCTAGAACCCAACAAAAGGGTACTTAAAATGGAGAACTTCAACGACCCAATGGGATTCCCTTTCCTTCTAAGGATCTCCGATTTCTTTCAAGCCTAAGACACCACTAGACGCACAAAGGCGTAACCCTCCAGAAATCACGAACTTGGGCCCCCACTATACAACCTCATCAAGCCTCAACCAAGCCTCGAAAACCTAGGCATAACCCACTGAACCCCAAACAAACCCAACAACAAAGTCCAGCAATCCCGAGCCACTGAACAATGCAGAAGGAGATGATCAACTATTTCCTCGTCATTCTTACACATGCAACACCAATAGATCACAATCTGTCTTCTCCTTTTAAGGTTATGATGTGTCGAGATCTTCCCCAAAATGGATGTCCAAGCAAAAAAAGGCCACTTTGAGAGGGGCCTTCGAGCACCAAATAGCCCTCCAAGGGAAGGGCGGCCCTAGGGCATCCAAAATACACCTAATAAAAGACCTGACATCAAAGCGATCTTGGGAAGAGAAACCCAACACCCAAAAGTCAGAAACGTCTACCACTATCTCCTAACCATACAACAACTCCAAAAAGCCAATGACATCCTCAATCTCCCAATCCGCCATAATATATGATTTGCAAATAGTGTCTAATTGATTTTTGACATTAAAAGGCAAAAAGGGGAGATTGTTGGTCCATGTCTTTCTACGTCTTGGTTTGCTCTAGTTAATGTCAAAACTCATGCTTACTAGCGGGGAAGAGACTACTGGGATTAGGAACTCTGGTCTATCTTAAGGGGATTTGTGCCAGAGACTAGGGTCTAATCCTAGGGGAACATGTGTGACGAGCAAAACTTTGATTCGCTCTAAGATTTCAGTCTAGGACTAGAAACCCAGTCTTACCCTAAAAGAGCGTGAAAGCGTCTAGAAAAGCGCACATCCCAGACTACACTCCCACCGAGGCGTTAGTAGTGAACCACGAAGGCATGTCTATCTGTAGCAATCTGGAAAAGTCTAGGAAAAGTGGGAGCAATATGTTTGGAGAATTCATCCCACCCCTAACTCGAAATCTAATATTTTTGGAGAATTCATCCCAACACTTCCAAAAGAATTTCCAAGCCCCAACTCCGCTTGGGAGTCTCACCTCCGACGAGCACCAACCTCCTCTAGCCTCCCCAAATCTGCTTGCAATCACCCAAAAAGCTCAAAAGAAGAACCTGATCGGTTGTGCAGTTCAGGCAAAAAAAGTATAACTAGTATGTTGATGTTACGTCAGAAGCTTTCGAATTGTATTTACCCATCAATAAAGAAATGTAGAGTTTTCAAGAAAAGTTCCATGCTCCTGTTGGGTTCCTGGACAATCAAATCTATCTGGTTCTTTGAGCAGATTCAGGAGCCACTTTTGTTGGAGCACTTATTTGAAACTCAATTTCATTGTTGATTCATATTCAGGAGTTTCTCTTCCTGAGCAAACATGAAGTGATTATTCGCTTGAGGATGTTCCACCTCTTGCTGCACATTCTTTCAGCAAAGTTGTTTCCCATTATAATTCGGTACCGGACAAAGCATACCCCCATATCAGCAAGGCCTAACTTTGAAATCAGATGATCCACTTTTACTGCCTGCCTCACATTAAACATGTGGTTCTAACACCAGATTTCTAGGAACAGTAAGGATCGTACATTCGTACTGAAGCTTTTCATTTAGCGGTAACAACCAAAAAAGTAGCCAGGAATATCTCAAATGCCCACCAGCTAATTTGGATTTAAAGGCAAAACGAATCTGAACCTAAAGCACTACAAATCAAGGAGCCTCACTTTTTATCTACTTGTGATGTCTAAGCTATTGGCTATTGGCTATTGGCTATTGGCTATTGGCTACTGCCTCCGTCTGTTAAAAACTGCAAACCATGACAGAATATTTTCTTGAATATGAACATTACTCAAATCCATCAAGCAAGCATCTGAACCAACGGAAGACAGTAGCTCGCACAGGATCACAAAAGTGGATGCATGAAAAGTACTCACATAAATTGATAACAGTATGCTGATACACACAAACTAAAGATTTATAGTGTATTATATCTAAAGAGATTTTTCATGAATAAGACGCAACTTTTTACTGAAAAAATTATAACAGGTTTGTCATGTAGAAGCGCTTAACAGGCATAATCATATTTTTCTGTAAGCTCAATTAAACTTAAAATGTGTACTTTAGATATTTTTAACAATGTCGCATGAAATTTTTTTAATGTAGGTGGCACTTACCAAGTATAGTTTTTGTAAGTTCACCAACAATCATGAATAAATTTATTATCCCCACTTATTTCTTGGGGAGATTAAGATGAAGAGACAGCCCCCTTTAGTAACAAGTAGTGATAGCCTTGTCCAATGCAAAAAGATATTAAACATAATAGCCATTGCATGAGATGTGGTGCATAGAATTTACCAATGAAACCAAGGAGCAAACTACGCTACATGGAAAAGAAAGCATACCAACCCAATAAATGTAAGGTCTTTTTCATCATCAATAGACAAAGATTGTTGACCCACGGGCATCCTTTTCAAGGCTAGAGCTAGACATCTTAAAGTTTCATTTCCTGCAAGACTGAACAACAGGCGAAATATTTCCACATAAGGTGCCAAGAAAATGTAACCTTGGTATAAAATGGAAAGGACTTAAAAAAACAAACAATAATTCACTGTAAGGTGCCAAATAGTGGAAAAGGCCACGTACACACGATGTACACAAAGCAAAGACTATAGGACCTTTCTCTACAAAACTCAAAAGAAATTTTGAGGAAGAGCTTATTCACCCCATTAGACAACTAACTAAATCAAAAATATTAAACAATGTCCCTAAATGGATAGAATGACAACATACAAGTCGAAAAAAAGCTATTAAGTTTCAGCACAATTTCAGTAAATCTGAAAGGTATCAGTATGGCTTTTTACCTACTCTGTGGTAAAAAGTCAGACCAACTAAACAGAGAGAATTACTATGCTTAATAACATTTTTACCACTTTCCTAAGTAAACAGTTTAGTAATTCAGAAGCTTAATTACTTGGTACCCAAAAACAAGAATGACTTTTTCAAGAAAATTTCCAAAGTACCATTAATTATTTGCATCAGTGTGTGTGTGTGTGTGTGTGTGTGTGTGTGTGTGTGTGAGAGAGAGAGAGAGAGAGAGAGAGAGAAATTTCTTTATAACCAACAAACTGAAAACTACAAAAACATCAAATCTAACATGAATAATACGACCTCTTACATTGCCAAAAAAAAATTTAAAAAAAATCTTCTGAAGTTTAAAGAAAAACAATCAGAACTTAAAAATATATAGCAATAAACAGAGGACAATGAAATTAACAAATAATGATAATAAGTGGAATCACGTTCCATAGAAGAAGGCAAAAAGTCATCATTTAGAATTTTACTGAAACCCAAAAACAACAGAAAAAAGAGGACTCAATCCAGTCACCAATTAATATTGAAAACAAAAACACTAAAAAAGAACAGGACAGAGAAGTAATCACAAGGTAGCACTAGCACCTAAAAACCCTTATATACATATTTAAAGATGTATCTAAATATGGAGTGTCAGAAAATTTCAAATTCTAAATGCTTTGTAATACAAAACGAAGTACAACTTAAAATTTTAAAAATTATAATAAATTAAGATGCAACTATGTAATGAAGCCCCATATTCCTGGACGCAACTATGTAACTGCAGCCCCATATTCTTGTACCGCACAGCTCAAAAATTTAGGCTCAAAGCACGAAATAGATGCGTTCTATGAGAGTTTTCCATTAAGGTATTGGCTTCAGGGCATTTCAGCATATAAAACAGTATTCGTGCCTCCTATAAAAATTTCCAACAAAAGAATAGAGAAATTCATCAAAAAAAACTTGACTAAGAAGAGACATAATATCATCATCATAATCCCTGCCTTATCCCATAGAGATGGGGTCAGCCACATGATTCTCTTTTTCCATAATTTACTATTGTACACCATGTCCTCTCTTAAATTTAGATTTTTCAAGCCGTTTTTAATTAATCATCCCATGTGAGTTTTGGTCGGCCTCTTTGTCGCTTACCTTCTACACAAACAACTCTTCCTCTTTTTTAAGGTGCATCATGCGGCCTACATTGAATATGACCACACCACCTAGTCTACTTTCCCTAATTTTATCATTTACAGGGGCTATGCCTAGTGTTCTCCTCTCACATTCATTATTTATCCAATCTCTTCTAATGATTCCTATCATCCAACTTAGCATCCTCATTTCCGCAACACGCATGTGTTGTCTTTGTGTCTTTCCCAAAGCCCAACACTCCATACAACATTCCCAGCCTAATAATTGTTCCATAGAATTTTCTTTTTAGTCTATTTGGTATTCGTTTGTCATAAAGGATACCACTAGCTTGCCTCCATTTTGTCCAGCCAGCTCTAATCCGACTTACGACTTCACCGTCCTCATCTTTTTGTAGTATTGATCCTAGGTAACGGAAATAGTTCTTTTGAGTAATTATTTGATCTTGAAGTGTGTTATTTATATTGTCAACGTTTTCTACTTTATCAAATTTGCATGCCATCTATTCCGTTTTAGTTTTACTAATTCTTAGGCCACTTGACTCTAATGCTTGCCTCCATTTTGTCCAGCCAGCTCTAATCCAACTTACTACATCACCATCCTCATCTTTTTGTAGTATTGATCCTAGGTAACGGAAATAGTTCTTTTGAGTAATTATTTGATCTTGAAGTGTGTTATTTATATTGTCAACGTTTTCTACTTTATCAAATTTGCATGCCATATATTCTGTTTTAGTTTTTACTCATTCTTAGGCCACTTGACTCTAATGCTTTTTTCCATGTTTCTATTTTTGTTGCTTCCTTAGAGGTATCTATTAGTACTATGTCACACAAAAATAAAATACACCGTGGGATGTCTTCTTGAATATCTTTCATTATTTCGTCAAATATTACCACAAATAGGTATAAACTCAACATCGATTCTTGGTGTAGTCCCACCTTTATAGGGAAGTCAATAGTTTCCCCACATGTAGTGTTAACTCTAGTCAATGTCTCACTATACATGTCTTGAATAAGATTTATAAGTTTCATAGGTAATTGTTTTCTTTGTAGAGCCCACCAAATTTAGTCCCTTGGCACTCTTATCATATGCACTATATAAGGGACACTATATCACTTGAGGATATAAAATAAATTTTCTTTTTTGATAAGTAGTAAATTAAAATTCATGACAAGATCATGTCTAAATGAATGTACAGGCATAATTTAAACTATCAGTAGGACTTTCAAAATTTTCTATTCCCTAAATGACTTTCAATACACCAAGTTATAAATGAAATCATATATATACATATAAATATTGATAAGTAACCATAAATATATATATATACATATATATATTATATACACACGAGTCACTCTCCAGTTTCTAGCCAAGCCAACCATTTACAATATATACCCCTCCCATGCCCATTATGCAATTTAAATATCAAAATCATCAGGTACCAACAGCCTTACAATTAAAAAATTCCCCATTCATAAAAAACTGCATACAACTCCAGTTGAAGTACCAATAAGTTGTTCAGTAATTGATCTCAGATAACTTGATAATTGGCAACCACTAAGGGAAATAAATGAATGCATTCAGTTGCTGATTTCAGATTGACTTCATATTTAGCAACCATGAAGGAACCAAAGAGATGAATTAACAAGCAGGACTGGTAAACTGCAAGCACAATAAAAGTAATGGAGCATGTAACATTAGAAAGTTTTGAACCAAATTTAACTTGATTTGGATAACCATTTACGTACAGACACGTTTAAGGGTACATAAAACATATATAAAATCTGCATGTCTGTTTATCTTTGCATCTGTGCATGCATAAATAAGTATAGAAAAAATAAGTGTATGAATCTAGAGGAAAACAAACCAACCTGTGGAATCTCGACTCCAACTCTGCTCGGATATTAGCTGTCAGCGGAACAGTGGAACCATCGTCATTGCACAAAATATTAGTGCATCTAGAAATTATACTCTCTGGGGCACCTTTAGAGAACATAATCTCCATCTGCTTTTGGCTGCAAAGAACACTCATCATTTTGCGATCACGAGAAAATTCCAAAAGAGAGACCTGCAAGGAATCAGATTCTCAAGCATGATTCAGAAAAGAGATATCAAATAATATGGTTAAGGAAAAAAGCTTCTCAACGGCTATTCAATGCTATCATACCAAAAGGCTCATTTAGTTTTGAGCATATTCATAAATCAACCAATCAAATTATCAATTGACAAATTGTTTTTACAAAATTTCAAGAACTGCAACAAATTTTTTGATAAACAAATTTTCAATAAAGAGCACTCAAAAGAGGAGCACAGCCCTAATGTGTGTGTGTGTGTGTGCATAGAGAGAAAGAGAACTTAATTTTTTCCTGCATAATAACTTATCAAAATAAAAAAATTTCCTACATAATCACAGTCAATGAGAAGTAGAGGATTTGGAGCCTCTAGTTCTAAATATATCGGGTCCTTTGTTCCACTAATATGCACTTCTTTCACTTTTTCAATTTAAATTTTATAAACGAGCAAGTTGCTGACATGATAACTGAATGGATCCTAGATTCTGCAAATCTTACCACCAAACTTAAAGAGTGCACCAACAAGGCCAACTCACTCAATAAGATAAACAAGTCACATGGACACTCAATTTTAAATATTCCATTGATGATTTGGAATATACTTTTTGAAGAAGTAGAGTTTCATTTCCCCCAGGCCTTATAGATGAATCTCAAATTTGTATTATATAGAAATAATAATAGTTACACAAATAATAGCAGTTGCCTTTGTTACTGCTATCGTAAGGACAGCAGCACGAATAGTTGCACTGTTTACATTTTAGGTATGGATAATATGTAAAATAATGAAATAAATTATCACAACCAACTAAACTATCAGTTAAAGCATTGAAAACACAATTTCTAAACTACCCAAAAAGAAAAAAAGAAGACCACAAATTTTAACATGAAAGAAGTAAACCGTTGCAAGTTCTTAATTTAGCTACGTCTGAGTGAACAGAACATGAAAGACAGAAATGTTTTCAGGTGTTACGGTCAATCAGATATAGATTCATGCTCCAACTAGTAGTGGTAATTCAACAATTAAGAAATTAAAAAAGCAATCATATGAAAAGGCAAACCTTTCTGAATTGATTCTCCCAATAACGATTACAGTAAGATGCTCGTTCATGCTTGCTCAGCATATTCAGAGCTGATGGCATAGAATCAAAACCAGGAATTCCAACCTAGTAACAAACAGCAACATGAAATTTTCTCCATAAAGTAGAAAGTTGAAATACAAAATGTTAAATAGAAGACGAATAAGAATTCAGAAGGTAAGCAGCAATTGGCAACATACTTTTGAGAGGAAAGAGTACAAAAGACAAACCTTTTCTGCCAGTACACGAAGGGCTACTTCAGTTGACTCCCCAATTTTTTCATAATTCCCCTTCTCTGGATTGTATTGTATAACAGATTCGTTGCAAAGCGCTGAACACATTGCTATATGGAGAAGACAAGACAATTGAGCTGGAAACTCAAGCTGCAAAACAATAGAACAACAACACAAGGATATGCAATGTCAGATGGGAGATAATTTTAACCCACAAAAGATATTGATATCCTTCCAAATTTGTATCAAATGGCATAATATAAGAAAAACTTTACCTGCATTCCACTTGTGTCAAAAATAAAGCCTTCTGGTGCATATGTAGATCCACTGACACTGTATTCAGTAGCAATAGGACCATGGTTTACAGACTGAAGCACACATATCTGGAAAGATGGAAGATGGACAATGTCCATGAATTTTATCTATTAAATGATAAAACTATAGTTTAATGGTTCCCCAGATAACTGACAAACTATACAACAGCACAAATATCATTGCAAAATTTCTTAATGATATAAGCAAATGTAGTTTCCCATTTTGTATCGAGAAGGAAATGAAATATAGTGAATAAAAGCAAGTACAAAGAATGGAAAATCCTTCAAAAAACAAAGCCAACAACGTCAAAGGGACTACAAAATTCAATGACCAACTGTAGTCAAATAAACAAGAAAAAACACTAAGAGGGAATAATTAAGAAAAGGTATAAGACCTTCTTTGACAGATTGCAGATATTTCTTTTAGTTTTGAAAAAATGATATTTAATCATCCCTTCCTCTGTATGAGCATGGGGTGTGTGTGCGTGTGCGTGTATCTGGGTGTGCACATGTGTCTGCATATGCAGTCTCTGTTTGTGTGCATGTGTGTGCACAGTCTGTGTCTACAGTACACTCATGGTGTGTTTCTGTTCTTCATGCATGCCCATGCACATGAACTCAACTCAACTCAAAACAGCACAACAAAGTTTGGTCCAAACTATTTGAACTTGGCTACAAGCTTATATCTAAAATAATTCGAAAATGCCACAAACGTTGCATGCAAGAGAAAATGCAAATAAAAGGGATGAATCCATATGATACTTCTACATTATAAAAGCCATTGATACACTACAACTTGATAAAAAATGCACAAAATATAAACAAATACACTGATGCAACAAAAAAATCAGTCAATATAAACTAAATAAACTTTGATGAATTACTTGAAAACAGAAAAATGGTAAGATAAAATAACTTATCATTTAAAGTATTAAGATGGTCACCTTTGAGGCAGACATCATATTGGTAGTCAGAGTGCCAGTCTTATCACTGCAAATTACTGTTGTGCATCCCAAAGTCTCTACAGATGGCAAAGACCTAACAATAGCATTTAACCGAGCCATTCGTTTTGTTCCAAGAGCCAAACACCTATGGAACAGAGAAAAATAGCATGACGAAGCAAATTCCAAGAAAATGTTAATTTTCCCCTAAATAAAATTGTGTCACTACATGCCAGTCTGTATGGCAATCATAGACCTAATAGACTCCAGCAGAGATGAAGTAGCATTAAGTATTCATTAAAGACCCCAAAGGGGGGCACGGCCCAAAACAAGCTGCACAAAAACCTATCGCCTCAAGCTATCTACAAAGAATAGCATTGTAACTCACAAAAAACATTTCAATGGAAAATTATGCAAATAATAGCATAATTAAAATTTAAAGATGCACACATTTTGCAAGTAATGTATCTCTCAAGAAACCAAAACTAAAGAAATTTACAGGTCACTCGGCTATCTGTTTCTTCAACTCATGTATAGACATAAAATTTGACAAAAATATATTTGTGCCAATCTACTAATTCAGGGCTAAGAACTCATATTTGTATTTAAACAAACACCTGCAAAGAATTCAACAGAAAAAACAACTAGAGTAGTCCACTTAGTTAGGGTATAGGACTTAGGTTGGCAAATTTGTGATCAAAAGTTGGAATCTGTTATTTTTGTTTATCTTTAGACGTCCAGTTAGTTGTACCTTGTCCAAGGGCAGATTTGGAATTTCACCAAGTTCAAGGGCAAAAAGGTAATTTTCAACCCAAGATAAAATACTCACCAATTAAAGTTTCAAATATATTAGTTAAGGTTCAAATTTTGCATGTTTGATCCATATAAACTACTTCTATTTGCCAAAATGTGTCTGCAAATAAATCAAAATCATAATCCAAAACAAATTAAGACAGCAGAATTCGATCCATCGAGGTATTGATTGAAAGCTTCTCACCTCTTGTCGATCAATTGATACTTGGCTCAACCAATAGAGCATTTTGGGCTTTGAGTTTCCTTTTCATATTCAACTACACCAAAACCCTATTTTTTTTATGACTACTCTCTATATCAAGAGATAATTCCAAAAAATAAGTAAAGAATAGCTTGCACAAGGTCGGAGCATACTTTGCATTCATATTACTTGTGCTTTCTAGTAATCCTTCGATTACTAGGATTTGTGTTTTTGCATCCATCATCATACATTATAGCATAGTGAGCGGATCAGTTGGTTGTTGAACATAACTCGTTCTCAAAGGATTTCAACAACAAAAGGCTACACACAAACTACATGGTACTAGCAAGGGGACAGAAGATCCATGTAGAATGACCGAAGTCTGATGATGGTTCAGCAACTGGAGGATTTGGGTTTGATCTAGCGAAAGTCTGAATCGAGATGGATTAAATGATTCTTGGTCTTAGTCTTATACTTAATCTGTAACCTCCTTCTACATAGTGGATTTCCATATGCCTGGCTGGGTCCCGTGGTTTTTTCTGTTTGGGTTTTCCACGTAAATTTTAGTGTTTTATGTGACTGCTTTACTTTACTGCTTAATCACAACCACATAAAAACTATGGTTGATTAATATTTATTGTGTGTGTAGTTTAATACTCCCTCCATCACAATTTAGTTGTCCATCTTTCCTTTTTGGATCGTCCCAAAATACTTGTCTACTTTCAAAGTTCAAACAACACATTTCACATCTTTCATAAAATACCCACAAACATTTAAATAATTTCAAACTTGATAATATATATATATTCAAACTTGAAAGGGTAACTTAGTAATTTTCAAAGGGGACAATGCAATAATTACATGTCCCCTTATAAAGTTCTACTCCCCGAAAGAGACATCTAATATGGGACAGAGGGAGTAGTTTAAATTCTGTTAGCTACAGTTATAATTTGAAAAGTTGTTAAAATCTAGTAATCAACAAGCAAGATCCATTTAACCACCCTCTAGGTCTAGATAACGGACCTTGCGCAACTCTAATCAGAACCTAGAGTCACGGTCCTATATTTTTCTCACAGATATCATTGGTAATAAAATCAGCAACTGGATATTCTATTCGTACAGTGTTGGCAAAAGAGTCGGCCTTACCTTACAAAAATAGATGGTCAAATGAATATTAGGTTGCATACCACTTAAAGCTTTTAAGGCTATCAGGTCTATACAAACAAAATAAATGGTCAAATGAATATATGGTAGCTACAATTACAACTCAACTCAATAGTGAATAAACCCCATTCACCACTGGTTATTCAACGCACATTTTATCCAAAAAACTTCCTTTTTTTCAACATCACATTTTGAAAGCGACTTTTTGTAAATCTTTGAAGTAATAAAACTCTATGTACAAGAACCTCTATTTCGAAATTTGAGTTTGAAGCACTGCTGTGTGATGTACAAGTTTCGAGTTCCAACTCCTTAATGTAGTATAGTGACATTTATGTCACTGTTCCAGACACATAGTCAAAGAATATCTTGTCCACTGTGTGTTGCAGAGAACAAGTTTGTATCCATAAGAATATTGAGCTAAGCACTTACGTTGTAACAACAGCAGGAAGACCTTCAGGAATTGCTGCAACTGCAAGAGCAACTGCAATCTAGGCAGGCACCATAAATAAGGTCAGAAATATAACAAAATAAGAATTATAACTAGGCCATGCAACTTGCAACTCAGCATCAGAAGAAAATATGACAATGAAACAAGAGAGGAATAACATGGGGGGGAAATAGAGGCAACATGGTTTAAGTCATTTAGTTAAGTGGTAAATTTGGCTTAATTTCCTGTTTAATGTGTGCTTTAAGCTCTAGTTGGGATATTTTTGTCATTCTGCTTCTATTTAGTGAGTCATGTGCCTATTAAGTGGGTCATGTGACCATTTAACGGTTGTTTTGCCATTTTTAGTGTCATTTATTCTGCATGAGTGTATAATAGCGCTTAGATTATATTTATATGAAGGGTTAAGAATATATATTTGCTAGGGCATTCCTTGTGTATTATAAAAGGGTTGTTCCAAGTTGTATTCAGCAGTTATTACATATTATCAATATATTCAGCCTGCTATTGCAGCTTTCTACCTCTCCCTTACTTTATAGGGATTGAGTTGTGGGTGTTTAAGCTATTCGCTAGCTTAATCTAGCTCTTTGTTTTCCTTTCTTGTAGATTTTATTTCTCTTTAATAAACAAATTGCATTATTTTCCCTCATATGTATGACAAAGACACCATGTCCCACTAGGACTTAAATGTTGCACCTCCCCCCATGGACTAAAATAAGATACCACTCATGATACGCAACTTGTGGTCAAAATGATGACTATTATGGAAGTATAGAAAATGAATATAGGCGGAATGAGGATGTCGAGATGGATAAGTTGCAATAGACAAACCAAAAAAGTATATCCATGGGAAGTTAGAAGTCACTCCAACCAAGGAAAAGACAAAGGAACGGAGTCTAAGATGGTCTGGCCTCATTTCCTTTTAACCTTATGGATCATAATTATACTTTACCCAAATCACCAGTCTCACCAAATATCATTACCACAATAAGAGATGGATTTATTCAATGTGAATGTGTTACAAAGATAAGACAAAGGCCACAGAAACATTGATTGACCAATGAGATCGCATATGGGCATATGACACACTCTAAATTACAGGAGGATATAGCATTAGATATAGATAATTAAAAAAACTCGCCAGTCGCCCCAAGTACATGTGAGAAATTGATTGATATAACATTATTTGGTCCACTCTTTATAATTTAAGCTGTTGGTGTAAACGGCTGTCTAAAATGGTATCATAGCTTTAGTTTTAAGAGTTTCTGTCCCTAAGTTCAAATATCTCCAGTTGTACATGTTCCTACCTTCCGCTTGTTCGTTTGAACTCAACTCATCTGCATGTTTGTCTCTCTACCTGCAATAGACATTTTAGATTCCATTCTTTAACAGCACAAACTATAAGGGTACGCGGTTGTCTAACATGAATAGTGGTACAACAATTATTTTTATTAGGTGAACATGTTAGGTGTATTAGAAGAACAATTCCAGGTAACTTGGTTTACTTCCACTTTGTTCATACATTCTATTAAACCCCAAACAAGATTAAGACTAATAGTACACAAAAGAATCCCACTAGCTAATTTATGTTTTGGAAAGTCAAAGCGCAACGCTAGGGGGAAAAATGTCTTTACCAATTTTTCTAGTTAAATGTCTAACTTGATCAATCAAAGTGGAGATAAAAAATACCTCAGTTTGAGGGAAAATTCTATATGATGACAAGGGCGGCTATGTTACAATGTACAACATGATGGGCTGTCATGAAAGAATATAAATGAATACAACCAAAATGGCAATGTTGACAGATTACTGAAAATGTAAGAAAATATTAATCTGAAAGGGGTCTATGTGGAAGGAGTTAAAAAGCAACACCAACTACGGAAAAGTTAAGGGGTTTAGTCTAAGGTGATCCACCCCCACCCCTAGGGATGGCAATGGGGCGGTTTGGGGAGGGGATCTCATTCCCCATCCCCATTTTAGTTTTTCATCCCCATAACCGCCCCAAAACCCACCGAGTTTTTCAAAGCAGCCCCCATCCCCATCCCCAATTACATAACCGGTTCCCCAAAACCACCCCAAACATGGCGGGGCCCCACCGGGGTGAGGATTTTTGCCATCCCTATTGCGGCTCTCTTTTTTCACAAGACTTAAGACACGAATGAAATAAGGGCTCCTCCTGTGTGTGTATATATACTTAACCTATTTTCGTAATTTATCATAGTATGTAAGAGTAATTTAATAAATTTATAATATATTCGGGGCGGGGAAACCCTCCCCCGAAACCGCCCCAAAACTGCCGTAACCGCCCCAAATGGGGCGGGGCAGGCCCCCGCCAGGATGGGGATTTTTGCCATCCCTACCTCCAACCCCATTCCCCCAACTCTCCTTCTTGGTCATTAATGAGACTAGACTCTAGACACCACCTATCCCTTACAAACAACTTTACCACAACGTGGATGAACACAGATGAAGGCGGCAAAAAATGAACATGGATTAAACAAATTAAAGAACATATGACGTCCCAAGAATCAAAGAGCATATGGCCCTAAATGTAGACAATTCCATTAAAGGAATTCGTTTAGACACCCCAAGTAAGATGCGTTTATGTATTTGGTGAGTCTAGTTGAGATTTGAAATAGAAAGGAAACATGTGATTCTTGTATCATGAATTTGTAAAGTGGGAGTGTGGGACAGTGGTAGAAGTAATTTGACGGGGGTCAGACCATGTTAAGGAATATTAGGTGATTATATCTATATAAGGTTAACATTCATTTTATACATATAATCCAGTCAGACCTAATTTAGATTTAGATAAATGCTATATAAAGAAAATCTCACTAACTTATTTTTTGGCCAGAAAAAGTGCAACGTTCAGAGAAAGTTACAAATTTAAGGGACCCTAAGGCTAAACGGTTTACAACAATGCTTTATATTTTATCCCTTTTGACTTGTCAACAAAAAAAATATTGAACCTATTTCATAAAAAGATCAAATGATTTTGATTGCATTATGTACTACAGTTATTCAATTAACAATAACTGAAAGGACATATTTCTCAAATGGTTGCAAGTTCTAAGTGTAATTTCAAGAAGCCAACACCTGCATATGCACACAACTTCATAACTCTTCTAGGTCAATTTAATAAAATTTTGAGTCTTTGACATTAATTAAGGCTACCATGAATTAACAACTAAATCTATAATGTAAATTAAAAATTTATAAAAGGGTAAATCAAAAAGAAGGTTAAATAAATAAAAATTTTTAAATTATAAGAATAAGAATAAGAATAGTAACTTATATAGGAATAACAAATATAGTATAAGTTATTCCCAAAACTAAACATGGGGAATAGGGCTTTAGTATATCAAGGTGTCTTGACAGAATATTAGGGTTTATTTTATTGTGTCCACAATCTGGAGGAGAAATGACAAAGGTGAGAATTTATTGGTCATCAACTTCAGGCTTGAAATATCAAGGCAAGTGATGATCGATACTTTACAATATTCAGCATCTGTTAGTCAATTTATTTGGTTTGTGTAATGAATATTCATGTATACATAAACATATGCATGTGTATAGCTGTTGTATACAATCACGTGCATACTAAATGTATATATTCATGGAACTATTTTAGATTATGAATTTAAATATCAAAGGATTGTCAGAGATGTTGCTAAAGCTTAAAATTCATCTTTAATCGGATCCATACAAGCCTATACATTAACTATATACATATGTGTAATTGTGTATGTTAGTTTTAAAAACCTTTCAATCCTTTAAAAGTTAAAGAAAAATGTTCAATTGAGTGATATCTTAGATGAATGGGATGTTATCAAACAATTTAGTTGCTTAGATTTACATTGATCTGATAAATAAAAAATTGGAGTTAAATTGGTTTTGAATGTAAGAACCTACTTACTTTTGCAAAGTGGTTATGGTAAATTAGGGCGAATATTCTGCCCATTTCTAATTCTTAGGAATTCCTAATCTATGGGAATAAGAGCCCCACAAAATCATGCAAAATAGAACGTCTTTAGATGTCGAATTTGGGGATGGAACATCCAGGTTCAAAAAAGGTAGGATTCACCTGCCATGCAAGGCTCACGCATCTGTCACATGCGGGCGGCAAATGTGGATTCTTCAGGTGTTGAGACGGATCAATGTTGGCCTAATAAACCCACTCGCCCAACTAAGCCGCATGGGTACACTTTTGGGTCCATCCAAATGGCTAGCATAGTGCATGAGACTCCCGCCAGTACGTCGTCTAGAGAGAGAGAGAGAGAGATGTACTCTCACTAATGGTGTTTGTAAGTCATAGGTTAATAGTTTAGGTACTCTGTATGATACATTGTTATTAAGGTGTAATGACAGTTATGAATTGTTGGTTAATGTCGGATGGTGGACAGGAGTAGCTTTGGTGGTGATGGAAACATGCAGAGTATGGACATGATATTTGTGAGGCCACTTTGATTTGGCGTGCCAAACTCTTAAGCACAGCAGTGGTACATGGTAAGGTTTCTTGGTGGGTTCTAGAGAGAGATGTTCTTCTATTGGATATGGGATTGGTTAATGAGCGACAGTTGATTGGCTTAGCCAACGTGTTTGGAAATTCAGATGTGGATTTGAGTCATGACCTGACAATAAAAGTAATGCAAATAAATGGAGAATTATGATATGAGAATGAGATTTAAATCGCCAAACTAACTTGAACTTCAAGAAAAGATTAGACAGATGAGTGACATAAATCTATTTTTGATAGATCCATTTTTTAGTTGATTTATTATCACAAGACCTATTGAACTTGTCTTAATAATAATTATTATTGAAGTTGCAACATGGCTAGTTACATGGTGACTTTTGTCGTTTGGTTAGATTGCTGCATATTGGGCTTCCCACGCTCACTGTGCTAATACCCACACCACCCCCACCATAAAAAATTAAAAAAAAAATGGTCAATGAATCTTTATGCAGACGTCATTAAAATTGCAGTTAAAAATGAGAATTTAGAAACCTTGCACAAACAGTATTCAGTGTGAATGCAAAAAAAGGAACCTCATTCATGAAACATTACCTTAAAGTAATGAATTGCGCCCCGGAAGAAGCCACCATGGGCAGGATCACGAAAATGACCAATGTTTACAATCCATACCAATACACAAATACCAGCAATAACCTAAAAGGAGAACAAAACTTTCAGAATCCCCTTAAATAGATAATGATGCAACAAGAAGCTGTGATCAGAAAAAAGTTAGGGAGCAGGCAATGAATAGAACTTCATTATCCCTACAAATTAAACATGAGATGTACAAAATCTTTTTAATTAAATGAAATTTGAGAGGAAATGGCACCGTAGCTGGAACATTGACAAGAGACCAATCTAAAGGTGGATGTGACCACCAAGGCATTCAAACATTTAGGCCATCGAAGGAAGTTTAGTTAAATTATGCAATATCCAGAACCACTGACATGGAAAGGCCAAAAGAAATAAATAAATAAAATCCCTCCAGTTGCTTTTCAGTAAAAAAATCATAATTATTTCCCCAGTCTGCCCCTCCTAGCACTCCACGTAAGTGGATATACACTGGGTAATTCAGTTTTTGCACTTGAGAGATACTTATTGAAAAAGGTTAAATTTGGGAGGAAATTGGATTAAGATCAAGTCCAGGCTAGGAGGAGAAGCATTATTTGGCCTGATTTCATACAGAAAAACCCTTTCTGACAATTAGGTCAGAGAATATATGTTGGGAACACCCAGAGATTTTCCAAAGTTAGTATGACAAGATTGAGATCCAACCTGACCTGAGATTTGAACAGTATTACTTTATTTGAACCAACTATTTGCCAAGCAAGATGGATCAGATATAAAGTCACCACTGTTAAGGTCAAAAATACACAAAAAGTTTTTACAAAATAACGAAACAGAAAAAACAATTTACTGATTTCACAGAAGAAGCAATGAGAATGACCTAAAATCCAATCCAATACTTACATTGAATTGGTTAAAAACTTCAGTTAGGGTCTGTCACCAGGTACCACATCAAGAACACTTCCAACTACTTTTTGTTATGACTTGCAAAGGGAATACATATATACGTGGTATAGTTAGTATATATGAAAATTTAGCATTACTCTGGAGAAAAGTATTATATTGAGACTCAACATAATTTTCAGTTGTGCCCTTTACGATGAAACAAAAAAATTATAAAGGGCAAAATATTCTACAACAACAACAAATAAATCCTTTTCCCAACTACTTGGGTCAGCTAAATGAATTCTGTTCTATTTATTTATTTATTTATATATTTATTCTGCTTTATCTAAAGTAATAAACTCAGAAACTGCTTATTTCCTTCCTAAGGTTCTTGCCAAGCATCCTACAAGCTTCCAACATATCAAGGACTTCAATCCAACTTTATTTAAAATAAAAATAAATATTTAAATTTCAATAAACCACCAAAGAAAATTCATTTGGAACTTTCATGTCATGCAAATGAAGTTTAGAAACATTAAGACAATAAACAAACTCAATTGTAACCACAGAGGGAAAACATAAGTTCCAACAATTAAAGGCAAAAAAAAAAATTGGATTTGAAATAGCATCTTTCCCTTCTAACATTCTCACCAAGCTTCCCAGACTCTTCCAACATATCAATGAGTCCAATCCAGCTTTACTCAATATAAAGGTAAATTTAGTTTTAATGTCCCACAAGTGACCTCTGGGAACATGAAAATGTGAAACAAATTCACATTCGTAACCCTAAGGAAAAAATATATTTTCCGTTGAATATATTAAAATAGAATATAAAAGGATGATCCATTTGCACATCACATTAAATAGAATTCTGAATGGAAAATGATTGTGCCTTCTGTCCTTGTCAACTACAAGACAGCATAATCTGATGGTTGCGTGCATTAATCCATCAACCACAGAAGAGAACACCACAAGCTGAAAGGAATAAAAAGGACATACAGCATCAGAATGAATAAAAAATGCCCCGCACACACTCCCCAAACCCCAAACTGGAAGTCATCATCTTATAACATTTTCTTAAAACAGATATCCACATAAAAGGGGCCAACACCAAAAACAGAAATTGGTGTTGAAAGAAAGGGCTTATCCAGAACCTCATATTTCAGTTTTCTTTCCACACCAATAAATAAGGAAATGATCCAATGAGTCCACAGCTCCCTCCCCCAACCCAGACCAATCAACATCAGCACAACATTTTTCAAAATAGATACCCAAACAAGATCACCACCGTAGACCTACAGAAATTGTCGGAAGGGCTTATTCCAGAACCTCATACTTACAAATTTTTTTCCACACCCTAGTCTTCAATTTCAGCACCGACATAGAATTTCAATTCAAACCTCTCCAATTCTTTGGTCTCCAAAAAAGTCACATTTCTTAGATATAATTCAATTCCCATTTTACTCTAGCCATATCCATTTCAAACATGAGTGAACTGACTAAAAAATCTAATTGAGGAACCTTCTAAAGTATGCCTACCCCACCTTCATGAAAGTTTTGAAGACTTAAAGTCGCTGAAAACAATTGTGTACATTGACAACATTTAAATTTGTGCATTTAGCTTCCCATGAATTAGTTTACTTCATGTCTTTTAGATTTAACAGTTTGGCAAGCATTTTTGTAAAATGTTCCTGCATAGACATTAAAGCAATGGGCCATTGAGAGCAACACTTCATCACTGTTCTTCTCCAACCCTGAAAACTTGTGATAAAGAAGATATTGCATATGTGTTATAGTTACTTATATAATTAATCAGGTCATCAGATTAATGATTTGACTAAGACAAAAATAATTATACGTTTATAGTAATGATTAAATACTAAATATTACATATTTATAGCATAAAGGAACACCGTAGAGGAAGGGCAGAAAATTTGTAATCACCTTGGCCAAGAAAGTACCAAATTCATCTAGCTTCTTCTTCAAGGGTGTCACCTCCTGCGTACAATTTTATTACATACATGATCAACTAGAATTAGTAAACAGTACTCATAAGTGTACAGATAAAGCTTACATCTTCCGTTCTCAACATAGCATCACGTATACTGCCCATTGCAGTGTTAGAGCCAACTCCAACAACAGCAGCTCTTGCCCTACCAGCGACAACTACTGTTCCCTGGCAATCACAATTGTAAAAACTCGTTTATTCTCAATAGTTCAAGAGTGCCTACAATTCGCATAATACCTATAAGCACAATTCTCTAACGTTGTGTCAATCTTCATATAATTAACACTTTGATAAGTCATTGTATATAAGTTCCATTATAGGAGAAGTTTTGAGAATTTACCGAAAATAGGATGTTTGTCTTGTCTTGGTACACTGCATTTGTTGCCAAGGTGGCATCAAGCTCTTTTTCTACAGAACAGCTCTCACCTATCATCAGCAAACAAAAAGAACTTCTGAATTTTTTTATGCATGTGCTAAAAGTATAGCAACAAAATAAAGAGAACACCATAAAGCATAACAAAATATCTTATAGTCAGAATGTTGATGAACATAACATTTGAACACTAAATGTATGCCTACAAATAAAGTAAATAAACAAAGACAGCACAAAACAAATGAAACTCTAATAGCATAGCTCTTCGGTTGGACAATCAACTGAACCAAATGAAGACTCTAACAGAATAGCTTTTCAGTCAGACAATCAAGTCTTATAGATTTTGTATCTGTTGAAAGGAGTCAGTTAATCACTTATTGATTCAATGATATTTACCTCAATAACTGTCAGGTGGTTTCTCACCACTGTTGTTTTCTGTTTCTTTTTTCTTTTCTTTTCTTTTTTTTTTTTTTTTTACCTCAATAACTATCGGGTGGTTTCCCACCCTTTTTTCTTTGAAGAGATAAATTTCACTCACATTCCCAGCTCCAGCAAAAGGTTTAAATAAGAAAAGCAATAATCCGATCTCATTAAGATTGCTTCAAAACGTTGGAAAGCCATCCACAGAAAAACTCAAATGATTATAAAAGGTAATCACCCTTGTTGATTTCCTTCAATGGAAGGTGCTGGGAGGGGTGATCTGGGCATAAACTGAACCCTTTAGCAAAATTGGCACAAAATGCATGGCCCATAGATCTAAGGTATAGAAGCATGAATAAATTTAATATGGCCTCACGGTCACTCCATATACATTACAAAATGAACACAATCTATAAATGCCAAAGTCAATAAGTAGACCCCAGACCCAAGATTGTTAAAAGGACCATTTTGGAATATGGCATTTGAACTCTAAGAAGCATGAATGTCACACATGAAACAAACAAATTGAAATGATTTTGACTTTATTTTTCTTTAACCAATTCTAGATTAACAATGGTATATTAATTATATTGATCACGAAAAATTTTCATGTTCACATAGAAAGAGAAATATACCTGTGAGAATTGCTTGATCAACACGTAAATGATCACTCAACATCTCAATCATTCTCATATCTGCTGGAATTTTGCATCCCACTACTCATTCCATAAAAAAAGCACATCTGTAAAGTTAGTTTAATGATAGCATTGTTTTGACAGTGAAAACCACTTTGATTGATAGATTCTTAAAAATTTCACAATGACCAACTTACCACTAACTTCTACAATATCCCCTGGGACAAGATCTGTTGCGGGTAATATGGAGAAGCAACCTGAAAGAATTGTTTCACGAAACCATTAAATGACTTCTGGAATTAATATGCTTATAGAAATTCAGGAATTTTTGTAAAGTAACTACCAGCATAAAACAAACATGTAAAATACCATTAAGTAATAGACAGAGAGAAAAACAACAGAAACCTCAAATACCATTGTTCAGCGTATGAAAATCTACCCTGTTAAGCCAGTGAAGAATACCATGACAAGTATCAACATAACAAAACATACATAAAGGCACACATTATATCTTCTGTGATAAATTGCAAAATTACTATCTACAAATCTTAGCAGCCCATTTAGAATCCTGAAAACGCAATTTTTAACAATTTATGTTTTCACAAGCAAGAGCATAGATAACGACGGTTCTAAGAAGCTCTCAGTTACTACTAAAGGATTATAAATCTACAACGGCCTGGCACATTTGCTATTTAAGATGTAAACCATCAACAACAATATAGAACAATAATGCACAACCTGCAGCACAGATCATTTTTAATCCCCAGACTTCTACAAGAATACATCTCCATACAAGTAAAAAAGTGGGGGAATGACTCCAACCTCAACAACAAAGTTGCAAGTCAAAAGGGAAATCCATAACAATACACAGTATCTCTATTTAAAACACTTTTAAGTTGGCCAATCATATAAGAAATGAATGACTTTACAAAAGGACTGGCCAATAAAATCATCCCAACAATGGCCCATCAAAACAATATAAATTATTAAAAATAATAATATTACATAAATTAAAAGAATCAGACTGCAAAAAACAAATATATCATCATAACTAGACTCCAAAGTCATTGAATGTTTGCTTTACCATTTCGCAGGACAGTTGCAACATCAGCTTGGTAAGCACGGAGTTCCTACAGTAGGAAGGAAAAATGAAAAAAAGATAAAAGAAAAAGAACAAATGATATATAATTACAAAGGGTTAGAACACAATTACAAAACCTATTAAGAAAACTAAAAAGTCGTGATTCTTTTCGCAATAAAATAAATTAATAACACTCACTAAAGAGACTGCTTTGCTTATCAACAAAAACTGCAGTTCTACCGTGCAGAAATATGGTATGTAGAAAAAAATTAGTTGCTTTCAAACTGGATTAAAAAATCAAAAAAATATAATGGAAGTGGTGGCTTTGGCTAGGGTCATCTTTACAGGAGTGACTTGAAGTCTTACGTACCATCAAAATAATATTAATAGAAATGCTCAGCACACTAGAACTTAAAAAATAAAAGAACAGCTTAAGAAGGGGGATCTGAAGGACCAAAAGGACACAATTCTTCATATCAAACGTTCTCTGGAAGTAAACTCGGAAAATATTCACACCAACACGATCTGAAGGACCAAAAGGACACAATTCTTCATATCAAATGTTCTCTGGAAGAAACTCAGAAAACATTCACCCCAACACCTTAACTACTACTACTTCTTCTTGTTCTCTGAATTTCTCTAATGGGCCTCCAATCCTAGAATGGTGGCAAATTGAGGGACAACTTGGGCCATTATTAAGTACAAATTTTCAGGCCAAGGAAATAGGGAAGTGCAACTAAAGAGAAGCTATGAGTGAGTCTAGGACACTATAGTCCACAGAAAACTTAAACGATTAGGAGCAGCAAAAAAATTGATAAAGGTGATTCATCCATGTATTTAGTTAATTTTAGAGCAAAGTTATCAAATACGTTTCATTGGAGGTTCCAGAAAAGGGGCAGTCCAGAACTGAATTAACCAGGGCATATTACTTGGGACTTATTCCAGCATGACTATATGCAAACTTGCTATGTGCCACTGCCACCTAAATTTGCTCCAGTCCACCTATGGAAAACTTGTATATAGGATTAGAGCATGCTGAGTATAGGAGTTCAAGAGGCAAAAAGTAAAGTATATATAACAATGCCCCTTACTCTCATAGAATTTAAAAAGAGAAAAAGAAAATTAACTAATTTTGTCGTGTTGGCACTTGTCTTGAATGTTTTATGGACCCAATAAAGAACAATTCCAAACAAAGAACGACTTGAACTTTTCTACAAAAGAGCAACACAGCACCATCATCTCCCTCTATGTAGGAGATTTCTGCAACTCTTCAATTGACAACATATGAAGCTGAGAGAGAGAGAGAGAGGAAAGAGAAAAAGAAAGACAGACAAAAAACGGAAAAAAAAAAAAAAAAGAATGGTTTAATTCCACAAACCACTGTGGAAACTCTCTCCAGGATGTGGCCGCAAATCCCTCATTTCTTTCATTTAATCCGTAGTTCTATACCAAAAGAACAAATTTAAAGAATGGCTGAAAAAACAGGAATGGTCCAAAATGATTGAAATGACCTGAAATAGACCGAAACAAAGATGAAATCAAACAAGGGTTTTTTGCTGTGCCTTTCAGCGAGAATGGTACTTTTTAGAATGTTTTGGCAGGAACAAAATGGATTTGATTCAGAGAGATACTCAACCAACACTTTCTTTGCAAAATCATAGACCAACTTTCACAGTGTGGTTTCTGCTTTTAAATAAATTCATATTGCAAAGCGAATTTTCCTTTAATAGAGGAATCACCTTTTATTGCCTTAATTTTGCTACCCAGACTAACTTTCTGTTCTTTTTCTCTTCTCTTTAGGTTGGGGTCCATTTGTCTCTATGTTGTAGGAAACATGTTTATTTCTCCCTCCAGTGTCGTCACTTTTATTTTCAACATCAGCATTACTCATATTTCAAAATGATAATAAGTTCTTCAAAATGTAGTAAGCTATTAGTACATCTATACGGGAGGGAGATGGAGGGTGGCAGAGTGAGATGGAGGGTGGCAGTCTAGGGAGACAAGATCCCAAGAAGGAATGGGTTCTTGGAAGCTAATCCGAAGGGGTTGGGATGAGTTTTCAAAACGAATTTGTTTCAAAGTTCGAAGTGGAAGGAACGTCAGGTTTTGGGAGGACAGATGGCGTGGGGACTTGGCCTCGGCCGGTAGGTTTCCTCGGCTCCTCAATAAATAAATGTTTCATAAAGATGAGAAGCCAACTATTACTGATGAAATAAATTATTAGTAGCGCCTATTGAAGTGACAATTCCTAAATGCTCAACAATATACAATATGTAAATACACAAAAAAAGCAAATAGTAAAATCACCTCTAATTTTCTAGTTTTACTTATAGATGCACACCCTATATAAAAAAGATTTAGAATCCAAGGCCAGTAAGTGAAAAAAATAAATAAATATATAAAAAATCTGACAACTTCTGAGCATTAAGGAATCTCAGCAATTTCCTACATGATCTCACACTGAATAAACTATCGCAAGATACAAAACAAATAGCAACTTCGCCTCAAATTTTTCTAGTTATGGATGCCTGAGTGCTTAAAAAAAATTGTTGGCCAATTCCATAATAGCTTAAACTTTTGGGCAACCAGTAGTCTAATATGGTATCTGGCCTTTGTTTCTCAGAGATTCTGATTTCAAGTTTCCCAATAATATTATTCCCCTATTCTTTATCTACGTCTCTTTGCACTTTCTTCTTTATGTTTGTCATGTTCTATTTGCCTCTCGGCCTCTCCAATTGCATGAGCTGTTGCACGCGAGGAAGGGTTTGAGAGCTGGATGTACATTATTTGGTCATCTCTAACAACATCAAATTTTGGTACGAAAGCAAAATCTTTAAAAAAAAAAAGGGAAAGGTTAAATCTGGTACTCATGATGTTAATAAAATATCTGACACCATGTTATATTTATACAGAACTTGTTTGCAATAAGACTACAAAATAAAAAATAAAAATTGGCTTTGGACCGGTTTGCTAAAAAAAGAAAAAAAAAAAAGGAGAAATTGAAAAAAGAAAAGCAGCGGCATCATATGCAATGAAGAACAAGAGAAGAAACAAGAGTGTAGGTAGTTAAACTGATTCTCGGCAGTGATTTTGTGGGTTTTTTAATATTAGATTTCAGTGACTTACCTCAAGAGCCTTTTCAGCATTTGTTTCTGTGATTACTCCTACTGCTGCATTTGCAGCCAATATCATTAGGATAACCTGTAAATAAACATAACAGTAAAAGAAATTTAAACAAATGCAAAAACATATATATATATAATACTACAGAAACCTAAATAATAAGGAAAGTTTATATTAAAACTTCTGCCAGAAACAACAAAAAAATGTGTACTACCATTCCTGAAAGCACCAGTTAAGATTTCAGAGTTCATTTTCTTTTGTCAGAATGTCAAGTGCTTCACGAATTTGATAGGGCACTTACACTAAGGGTGGGAACAATGAAGAGGAAATTCCATAGCAACCCTACACCCCCCCCAAAAAAAAAAAAAGGGCGGAGCAACATCAAAATCGCTACCGTCAAGGGGTGAGATCCCCAATTAAAGATTTCCATGAAAGAATGCCAGAATGGAAAAACGATATCCTAAATTTAGTCATGAAACAGCAATATGAATACCACAAGTTTTTGTACCCTTTTGACTAACAATAAAAACATCAAAGTCACTTTCCACTGAAGGTGCCTACACCTTTAGATTAAATTAAACAAGCCTCTTTTCACCGCCAACACCTTGACCCATAGAATTAAGATAAGAAGAATAAACTTATCTCATTGCAATCAAGTTCAAATGGCTGAGGATTGAAGCTTATAAATCCTAAAAAAAAAAAAAAAGGCTACAGTCAAGGGGTGCAACTATGCTAGTGAAACTTGCTGACCCAAATAGTTGGCTGCTCGACCCTCAGCTTGGCAAGGTGGAACGCTGATCTGAATCAACAAACCCAAAATAAAAAAATTTGTGAAGAGTATTTTTAAAATTTTAATAAATACTAACATAAGAAAAATCAATTTGTGAGGAGTCATCTTATTAATCGGATGCCTTCGTCGGTGTTACAAGGGAAATCTCCTCATTCTATTCTATTTCCCAACTCCACATCGTTTAATCTCACTCCTCGGGTCTTTGGATGTGTGTGTTATGTCCATAACCTTGGGCCCGGTCTTGACAAACTCGACCCTCGTGCCACTAAGTGTGTTTTTCTTGGGTATTCTCGCACTCAAAAGGGTTAACGTTGCTACAGTCCTCATTTTCAGTGCTATTTCACTAGCGCTGATGTCTCCTTTTCTGAGTCTCTCCCATATTTTTCAGATTCTACTACCCCTCTCGATATTACTCTTGAGCAACCTATGCCAACTGTTCCCTCTCTATTTCCTGCTCCCACACCTCCTCGCTCCATTGTCCCCTTGCAGGTTTATACTCGACCGCCTACTTCGCTCCCTCCATCTCCTTCAGAGTCTTCAGATCCGACGCCATCTACTTTGCCTGATGATTTGCCTATTGCTCTCCGTAAGGGTACTCGTTCGTGTGTTACTGCACATCCCATTTCTAACTTTGTAACCTACCATAATGCTTCTTCTTCTTTATCTTGTTTTTTATCCAAAATGTCTGCTACTTTTGTTCCCAAGACTTTGCAGGATGCTATTTCTAATTCGGATTGGCGCAAAGCCATGGTAGATGAAATAGATGCCCTTCAACGTAATCGGACTTGGGATCTTGTTCCCTTACCTCCGGGCTCCAAAACGGTTGGTTGTAAGTGGGTCTACACTGTAAAATACCTTCACGATGGGTCTATTGAGCAGTTGAAGGCTCATCTCGTGGTAAAGGGTACACTCAGACTTATGGTATTGACTACGATGAGACCTTTTCTCCTGTTGCTAAGATTTCTTCTATTCGGGTACTTATTTCCATTGCTGCCAATTGTAACTGGCCGTTGTGACAATTGGATGTCAAAAATGCCTTCTTGCATGGTGACTTGGTTGAAGAAGTTTATATGGAGCAACCACCTGGGTTTGTTGCTCAGGGGGAGTATCGTCACACTGTTTGTCGCCTTAAAAAGGCCCTGTATGGATTGAAACAATCTCCACGAGCTTGGTTTGGAAAATTCTCTGAGGCGGCATTAGAATTTGGTCTTGACAGATGCCAAACCGATCATTCGGTATTTCACCAATGCACTAAAGCTGGCTTCATTTTTCTTGTGGTGTATGTAGATGATATTGTGATCACGGGTGATGATTCTGAAGGCATTGCTAAGTTGAAGTTGTTTCTGCAAAATCGATTCCACACTAAAGACTTGGGTAAACTTAGGTATTTCTTAGGTATTGAAGTCGCTAGATCCAAGAAGGGAATAAATTTATCTCAACGCAAATATATGTTGGACTTATTAGAAGAAACAGGTATGTTGGGTGGTCGTCCAGTTGATGCTCCTATGAATTAAAATACAAAACTTGTGTCTGATGAGGGTGATCTATTTAATGACCCGGGTAAATTTCGACGCCTTGTTGGGAAATTAATTTATCTCACTATCACTCGACCTGATATTTCATATGCAGTTAGTGTTGTAAGTCAGTTCATGGAAGCTCCTAGAATGCCACATTGGATTGCTGTTCTTCGGATTATCCGAAACCTCAAGCAAGCTCCAGGTTTTGGGTTACTATATAAATCATATGGTCATCTCAGGGTGGAAGGTTTTACAAATGCTGACTGGGCTGGTTCTCCTTCAGACAAGAGATCTACTACAGGCTACTGCACATTTGTAGGAGGAAATCTTGTTACATGGAGAAGTAAAAAGCAAACGGTGGTAGCTCGATCTAGTGCTGAAGCTGAGTATAGGGCAATGGCCCATACCACTAGTGAGTTGACATGGATACAACATTTTCTAAAAGAACGTGGGTTGATTGTTGAAACTCCTACTCCATTGTTCTGTGATAATCAAGTAGCTGTTCACATTGCATCAAATCCTGTGTTTCATGAGAGGACCAAACATATTGATGTTGATTGTCACTTCATTCGAGAAAAAATATTAAGTGGGAGCATCTCTACTCCATTTGTGAAGTCTGGAGATCAATTAGCTGATATGTTTACCAAAGCATTGGGTCATAATCGGTTAAGGACTATCTGTTCCAAGCTGGGATTATTTGATATATACTCTCCAGCTTGAGGGGGAGTGTTAGAATGTTTTGGGTCATTATGTAATTACATATAGTTGGTAGGGTCATTGTGTAATTAATCTATGACATACACAATCATCAGTTTGAACAATGTGATACATTGTGTTAGAGAGCATTTGATACATTGGTTCCTACTTGATACTACCTGATCCCAAAGAAAATTCTGCCACCAATTGTACTTAATAATATCCTCATCATGATTGCATGTCATGCATTATATAGGAATAAACATTTTGCTTGTCATAAATGAAGCTTACTATATTATTTATTTCACATTGACAATTGCAAAATATAGAGATATTGACATCCCAAACTTTCTCCACCAGCAATTACTGCACATATAAGTGACTGTGCAAGAAAACAAGCACAAAGAACTCCCTTTTGCTTCAATATATGTGTATAAAATCCATGTCACTTGCACACCATACAACATGGGACACCCAAACAAGACAATTAGCACTCTTAAACATAGTTCAATATTATATTACATCACAGTCAACCATGATAAAAACTGAAACATGAAATTTTGTGAGCTTTAGCGTATCAGAACCAACCATTGTTTCAAAGATCAACCTCAACAAACTCAAGTCAATGATTCAATCCAATGCATACAAAAAGAAAACCTTAGTGAAAGCATGTGAAGTATCAATCACAATGCGTACATAAAGCTAGAACGAGTAAAGAAACCATCCAAGTAATTATTAAGCATTTGCAACCTCATATATGATCAAAAGCAGGATGTCAGCTTAACTGAGCAAAAAGATATCATATCTTACAGAAGGCTCCAAAAATGCTGTTAAGCCTGTCTCTCCATTAACCAAAGCCAAAAGAAAAGAAACAATGGCAGCTGCAATCAATATCTTAACCAGCAAATCATCGAATTGCTTCAGCACCAATTTCCAAAAGGGAGTGCCTGTATTCAACCAAATATAAGTACATAAAAGAATGGAAGGATTAGCTCATAAATCAAGAATATATATGCAATTTTCACATTTCATCAAAATCCCTCATCACACAAATAAGATGGAAACAGATAACAGTTGCGCGCGCATGCCCCTATTATAGTAATAAAACAATGGCAGCCAAAACTATCACTCACCTATACTTCTAACTCCACCAGAAACAATGGAACCATTTTAAGATGATAACAACGGAAGAGCATTAATAGGCACTGAAGGTAGAAGCTTAAAAGAAACTATGATGAAACTATCCACTATGAATATCAAGATTAGTGCAAATGAAGTTTGGCATTATTTATAATATTTCTGGATAATAAAGTGTCTTGTCCTAGAAAGAAATAAACGTAAGGGTTGATGCAACTTGGAAGCAGCATAAAGGCTCTGTTATTATACTTGTGAATTTGAAATTCTTAAAGGAAGTATAGCTGGACCGCTTAGAAGTTCAAAATGAATGCAAATAGAGCATCATCAATAAGAAGTGGAAGTATCATTAACGGAATATACTCCATTGATGAAAACATGAAATTCCAGACTCTCCATTAAAAAGTACCATGTTTTGTCGTATTTACAGTGAAAGGTGGGATTTAAAATCTTTTAGGTAGGTAAAAGGGAAAAAAAGCTTCAAAAACCAAAGACTATGCCTGATTCAGTTTTCTGTTCTCAGAAAATTGAAAAACAGAAAACAGCTCAAAAATATTACAGTTTCTGAAATCTGTTCTCTCAAAACTAAGTTAAATAGAGGGTTGAATTCAGATAATTGTCTATTGTAGTATTCTAAAACTTTTTTTTGTCTTCAACGGTCTCCCAACTGTTATCAGAAAATTGAATCAAACAAGCCGGTCTATTCTAACTAGATTAAGAGTTTTTTTGCCCTTTTTTGGGGGGAAGGAGGACAAAAAATGCCCTTGATACTATAACATATAAAAAAAGAAGAAGAAATATATATATTTATATGCAACTAGAAGCAGACACTAAAGGAATATGCAGCAACATACTTTCAGCTAAAAAGTTCGTTAATCAAATTATTTAATCAAAAAAATATTAAACTTATCCCAAAAAAAAATAAGAATTAAGAGCCACTGTGGTGTCATTTCTGAAAATCTTTTTCCATTCTCAGAAACAGAATAAACAAGCCAATACAGAAGAACTGTTTAAGAGAACATTATTTATAAAAAAATTTGGAAAACTTGCTTGAAAAATGGACTGTTTTCAGGAAAATATTCAAAAAAGTTTCACATCGTAAAAAACACGTTGATCAAAAATGGAAGCAAGGACAAAAATGGTCGTCATATTTTTCACCAGCCTCTACAAAAATAAGTCTCACCCTTTAACCTTTTCATTTACTATATGGTTTACTAGTCTCCTTCTATGCAAGACGACAAGCCATGCGTGTCTTTGGCTTTACGTGAGAGAGACTTTTTTCTCCAGAGGGCTTTCTGTCATAAAGCCAAAAATGCCCAAGACAGGGTACAACCGTTGGGAACGGGACATGACCAAACAGAACCTAGGCACTAATGCTTTAATTACATGCGTCCATTTAAGAACGGTAGGTTGTTTTTCCCTTCCCTTGGTAAGTTAGAAAGTTGGAATAATAAGGGTGTTCATAACCCGGTGGGAATCCACACACTTGCACTTTCACGCTGTCTTGCACTGCCCTGTCAGAGGTTCTAGAAATGCTTGGGGTTGGATTTTTTCCCGCGGGTGGGATTGGAGAAGCGCCATAGCGTCCAAACGCTCCTTCATTGCATCTTGTTGGACAAGAAATGTGTTTAAATATATATTTTGGGAAAATAATTTCTCACCAAATATATAATTTACTGGTTTTTTATTATTACCAATATTATGAAGTGAATTCTCTTATATTCAAAGTATTATATGGTGGGGTTTGTGGTGAGAGAGAAATAGGAGATACTTTGAGGGTGTGGAGTCTCCTATTTGGGCTATTAAGTATATAATATACTTCTTTATTCTTTTGGGTAAATGGGCGGGATTTAGGGGTGGCAAACGGGCGGGTTGGATCAGGTTTGGTCAGGGTCAAATATGGGCGGGTTGAAAATGGGTTGCACCCCATATTCAACCCTTTTGCAATGAATCAAATATGGATTGGGTCAAAATGGTTTGGGTCAACCCGTAAGACCCAATGACCCATTTTCATCCTTTTATTCTTTTCTTTTTTTTTAAATTAAAAAACATATACATTTTACTATTAGTTCCATCTTGTTTTACTAAAAATTAGGGAAAATTTTATTTTAATTGCTATGGGTTGAAGGTAAGTAATAAATTTACAAAATCCATTTAGTACATATTTTTTAAAAAATTGTACTTTTATATTATATTATGAAATTTTAACCTTCAACTCATATGAATTCAAGTTAAACAGCGAACACTTAAAATATATATATATATTTTTTCTTTCATATGATAAAATTTGTATTAAAGTAGAAGAGAAGCAAATGATGTAAAAATGCCCAAGTCGAAAGCAAATGCCTTGTCCAACCCACTGAACAGTTGACAAGGCCAAAATACAAACAAAAAGGGACCATATGCATATGATCACGCCCTACATAATTTTTTTTTTTTTTCCAAATATATATATGTACAGATCCCAATGATCGGCATTTTGTAGAGACATAATTTGTCAAAAAGAGAAAATTTTCAAGTTAAACAGTGAAAGTTCATGTGCATCACTCCTATCATAATAACATATTACTATTTTTTTTAACAAAAATACAGATATACACATATACATTTATAAAAATAAATAAATAAGCACAATCTCAAACTCAACAATATTTATCGACTCGTTTTAGAGAGAGAAGTGAAGGAAAGAGAAGAAATTTCTAGAGAGAGAAACTTAGAGAGAGGGGGGATTGATAAGAGACAAATTTAGAGAAAGAAAGAGGATCATGAGTCAGAGAATTTTAGAGAGAGAGAAATGGGGTGAGTGCAACATAAAATAGATGTGTATTGTGTGTCTATTATCTAATGGGTGAAATAACCAAATTCAACCTATCTTGACCCTCAAATTAAGTGGTTAAAAATTATCCAACCCATTTTTGACCCACTTTAAATATGGTTCACACAAAACCATTAAAAAATGGGCGGGTTGATGGGTTACGACCCATTTTGCCATCCCTAGCGGGATTGTATGTCAGTGGATTGTCTTTGGGATTTTGTTGATAGCTTGAAGCTTTAGGGTCGTCTTGGATGGCAGTTGTATGTTTTGGGAGCGCTGCCCTTTTGAGCATGTTTATAATATCTTTTCTTTATCTATCAAAAAATATATATATTCAAAGTATTAATGTTGGTGCAAGTTTAGCTTCTTTCTTAATTTTAAGAAGAGGTTCTGCGTCCTGTGGTCTACAGCAAAGGAAGTGGAGACATATTCCCATAAAAGGGAGAAATTCGATTAAGAATATCCTCATTCCAAGATAATTCTGAAATTTGTAGGGTCTTCCATGAACCAGTAGAGTTGGAAAACATAGTATTTGAAACCCTATATAGCTGTAACTAAATAAAAATTAAGGGAGTAATTCTTATCTATTGGTGGCGCTGTCCATCCTAGAATTGCAAGACGCTATAGACAGTCATTATTAATGTTCATTTCTTTGTGAAACATTCATGTCACTGCTTCCTTATTGTCTTCCTTTACCAGTTTTATCGCAATCGCATGTAGAGTTTGAGGGAAAAATAGGAGAGGATGTGATCAGAGCATAGAAGGCAGCAAAGGCAAATTATTTTTATACTTTTCTTGACGGATCATACACAATAATGTATTGCTTGAACAACAATGAGAGAGAGAGAGAGAGAGAGAGAGCAAATCCTGTGTACTTACTTCCCTCTTGAGGCAGAGCTGAAACCATGTGTAAAGCATGCAACCAAAGGGAAAATCACATTAGAAAAAATAAATGCAAATAAATTTGAATATCATGGGATATTAATTAATTAAAAACAACAACAAAATCTAGCATTCAAAAAAAAAAAATTTGAAAACTATAGCAATACATTTTAGATTGAGCAGTTATCTTCCTTTTTTGCTATATAACCCTCAAAGAAAAAAATAAAAGGTAAAAAGAAATGCAAAGCGGTGAATATAGCCCTGAGATATAAAAACATAACAATATGGCAAGTAACCAAAAGGCCATTGTACTGCAGTGGAAAGTGATTGCATAGCATCTAAACGATAGGGTTGACGTTAAGAGTTCAACTCTTATCACTGATAATCATAACTGTCCACGCGCACAAAAGAAAAGAAAGAACATGGCCAGTTCAAGATTACTATGGTAACAAACTTCCATGTTATATTTAAACACCAAGTGAAAGTGTGTGTGTTTGTTCTAATTGCACAGATCCATAAATCAATACAGACGCTAACCTATATAAACACAATATTGACTGCCACCATATAACTGAAAATTGGAACAACGGTCCCCATGTGGACGGTAAACCAGAACATAATTAACGCTAACCTATATAAATACAATATATTGACTGCCACCCATATAACTGAAAATTGGAACAACGGTCCCGATGTGGACGGTAAACCAGAACATAATTATTTGACAGACTACAAGTATAATTTTCAATAAATAAAGTCAAGAATTTAAAGGTGAGAAAAAGACTAGCATACAAGATGAATGGCACTGCATGTTGATAATCAACAAGACCATAAATAAAAAGTGATCCATATTAAGTTTTATATGATGCTCACTTAGAATTGTTTCTAGTACCAATTAATGAGACAATGACAATGGAACAAGTAAGATATGTTGCAACCTTATTTACGCCATTGTGTCCTTGTATCAGAAGGATCTCAAGTTGAAAACTGAAAATTTTTTTTTTTGATAAGTAAAAAATATATTAGAAAAACGTTCAAAAGGGGAACGCGTCCCTAATACACAAAAACGAAAGAGCAGAAATCAAGCCTACGGACCAACATAGTCCAAGAGATCAAAAAAATCATCAATCGAGGAGCAAGCGCTGCCTTTTACATAACAGAAAAGAAAGCGAAGAATATGAGACTTTAGGTTTGATAAAGACGATTCCTTTCCTTCAAAATTTCTGTTATTTCTCTCTCTCCAAATACATCACCAAACACAGTGTGGGGCGACCATCCAAAAATCATGAGCTTGACCAGGGCATCTTCTCCAAGCGTTAATTAATTGAAAAGAATGCCTAGGCATTACCCACTAAACGCCAAAAATACTGAATATGAAATTCCAACAATCAAACACAACAAGACAATGCATAAGAATATGGTCCACGGACTCTCCGTCAATTTTACAGAGACAGCACCAGTTAACAATGATATTACCTCCCTTGCGCAGATTATCCAATATTAGAATTTTTCCCCAGGTAGCAGTCCAACAAAGAAGGCAACTCTAAGAGGAGCTTTAGAGCGCCACATACACTTCCATGGGAAATTATGTCTAGTAAAATTAGACAAACACAAGAACATGGATCAAACTCCATATCTACCATGAAGAGAGGGGTCCACAAAATGTCATCACAACCTCTGCCAACATCCTTCTGTCTATACAACAAGTCCAAAAAGATGCATACTTCTGCTATCTCCCAATCCTGAAAAGAACGCCTAAAAAGCACATCCCACGTAACCCCACTGTTATCAAGATGATAACAGTCAACTACGTAAGCATGCTCATTCTCGACAATGCTAAAGAGACGAGGAAAGGAAAGGAAAGAGACAACAACTGATCACCACACCATAAGTCTTCCCAAAATCTAACAATCGTACCATTACGAACCTTGAAACGAATATGGGTGGAAAACACATCCCAACCTTTCCGAATGAATTTCCAAATGCCAAAACCTCCGGTAACAGATACAAGATGAGAGGACCAACCTCCACTCTCCTCCCCGAAACGACACGAGATAACTCTTCTCCATTGTCAATGACGCTCTTTACCGAACCTCTATAACCACTTCCCCAATAAGGCTCTATTAAAAGGGACCAACTTCCGAATGCCTAAACCGCCAAACTTCAGAGGTTTGCAAACTTGCTCCCAATTAACAAGATTATACTTAAACTCCTCTCCTTTTCCACCCCAAAAAAGTCTCTGAATTTTTTCGATCCGTTCAGCAACAGAGCACGGGATTTGAAACAAAGATAAGAAATATGTGAATTTTCAAAACTGAATTTTCAAAGAAAGGTTTGATCCTTCAGGCTTAAGCAAGACCCACATAGGTCCAGCGCCAAAGAGATCACCCGTTATCAAGACCTAAAAAATCCCCAAGTTCTATTGAAATAAAATTTTATATCTTGTTTTAACATGTATGATTATATAATACTTTATGGGACATTTTTGAAATTTCAGAAAATGACAAACCAGTTGCTTTAAAGGGAACATTAAGGTGATGTTTATGGGGTAAAATTTATAAGTGGATGAAACTGCACTTATCACTGAACACTGAAAATTCAAAAAAGTATCAAAATTATTTCAGTTTATGATTAACATTTAAAATTTCAGCACTTAAACAGCATCTCTTGAAATCGTTAATGATTAATTTTTAGTTTAATCAAACAAAGCCTTAAGTTATAGTTTTCCAATCAAAACGGCAGCAATGGAAGTCTATAACTAACGAAAAAACAATATGTTAGTGGTTATGGGGAAGCAAAACCAGGGAAGTAATTGTGATTATAATTTTTTTCCTTCTTCTTTGCTTGAATTCTTTGTTAGTGGATTTGAAAATGACACTTCATCCCTTGAGATTACATATCTCCTTCAGTTGAAATTCATTTCTTAGAGCTGTGTATCTCCTCTCAGTTGAAATTCATTTCCAAATCCATTGTACACCAAGTACATAATTGGATTTAAATGCCAAGAGCCCAATTTGCTCCTTCTAATTCTTAGGCCAAAGCACCCTTACAAATATCAAAAAACTAGCAGAAGGTTATACCATCAAGTTCCATTTAGCAAATGTATGGGTGCCAGTTATTAGAAGTGTACATGGGTATCAGTATCAATGAACTTTTTAGGAGCAAAGATCAAGTCTATTAAAGAGAGAAACCATGTATTTTATTAAAAACCTTCAAAAATTATATTAAGAAAACAAGTAAAGGTCAAATAACAACCAAGTATTTCAACTAAAGAGGTACATGCTTAAAGATTGTTCCTCCTCGTAAGAATGAGAGATTACATTAAAAAATTAAAAGTTAATATGAAGATACAGTGGACTCCTCAAACGAAAAAGAAAAACAAGGACAACACAACACCACAAAAACAAAGATGTATTCATACTCAACAAAACCTTATCCCCAATAATTTGCCCCGGATGCATGATTTTGTTTCGCTATTTTGCTCCTCTCAATAAAATTACATGTTATTATCTCTTCCTTTACTAGCTCAACTCATATTAACTTGCATCTTCCTATTCCCCTAGAAATTCCCTCAATAAGGACCAAATCACACTAGTGCAGTTAACAATCTTCATCGCACATAGCCAAAACATATTAATAGGTTTCTCTCGGTTTATCTCAAATAGGTGCAACTTCCACATTCTCACAAACGCACATGTTTCTTATTTATCCTTCCATGTCTTACCTTACATTCATTTCAATATCTGCATTCTGATGAAACTCTAACCATATTTCTTGATCACCCAACATTATATTATACAGAATTTACCTTCGTTTTATAGAAATATGTTGATATGGAATATGATAAAAGCACTCCAATTAACTTATCTACTTTCATTATATGACCAATATCATTTTCAACTCTCTCCTTGTGAGTAATCAGGCTTAGAAAATGAAATTTTCACTTTTGGGTATCTATTTTATATTCACTTTTGGGAACCTTTTGACGATCAATCTTCAGCACATCCCCACTTCTATCCTAATTTTACTAATCTTACTTTCTATATATTCAATTTTTTATTCATATTTTAAACACTCTTTATTCTAGAGTTCCTTTCACAAATCTAATTTAGGATATATCAATGTTTTATTCTTATCAAAAGATAGCATCAACAAATAGCATACACTTCGAATATCTCCATATTTTCACATATATATAGGCACTAAAAGAGTATTTTGTAGCCCATTAGTTATTTGTTTAGTTGTTATGATCTTATTAAACAATTTTGTTAGCCACGATAAGTCATTGCAACCTAAACACTTAAAGACTCGATCACATCTAGTCCTAAAATCTTTAAATTTCCGTGGTCCTCAAAATCTTTTTTTACCTTAAACACTCAGATCCTACAAAGAAATTTGTTCTCTCTAATATCCCCAAGGTTTTTTTTTTTTTTTTGATAAGTAAAATGTATTAGAAAGCGTTCAAAAGGGGAACGCGTCCCGAGATATACACAAAAAGAATCTATGAACTCAAAGAACCCAAAAAGTCCACAATGCCCTCTAAAGAAGAATAATCCCTCCCCCAACCCCAACAAAAAGGGTACAAATAATAGAAAATTTCAGCTCTCCAATAGAGGACTCCTTCCCATCAAAAGATCTTCTGTTCCGCTCTTTCCAAAGACTCCACCAAACGCAAAGAGGGGTCACCCTCCAAAAGTCTCTAGCCTGAGCCCCCACCCATTGGCCCATCCAGATATCTAGCAATCCTCAAGAAGTCTGAGGCATGACCCAATGGATGCCAAACAAACCAAGCAAAAGACTCCAACATTCATAAGCAACAGGACAATGCAACAGAAGGTGATCCACGGACTCCCCAAAACACTTGCAAAGACAACACCGGTTAACAATGATATGTCTTCTCTTCCGTAAATTGTCCAAAGTCAGAATCTTACTCCAAGCTGCAGTCCACACAAAAAAGGCCACCCTAAGGGGCGCCTTAGAGAGCCACACCGTCTTCCACGGGAAGGGCAACCCATGAAACCCAGAGAGGCGCGCAAAGAATGACCGGACCTGGAACATCCCATTAGAAGAAGGCACCCAAACAAGGAATCCACACCAGTGCCATCCAATTCCTGTCTATACAAAAGGGCCAACAAGCCAGTGACATCATCCAACTCCCAATCCTGAAAAGGTCGCCTGAATCGCACATCCCAAGACAACGTCCCGCTATCAAGACAATAGCAGTCAGCAACCATAGCATGTTTGTCAACAGCAATCCCCAAGGTTACCAAGCATGATGAAGGTTTGAGACTGGAGTTCGTACAAATAATCCAAAAGGTTAAATTTGTTGCATTCAACCCACCCATCCTAACACCCTTGATTTAGCACCAAATAATCATCATCATACATACCTTTTTAAAATCATTTCTTATCACTTCATTCCATGTTAGTTTTGGTTGCCCTCTTTCTCTCTTCTTTCTATACAAGTCAATCTTTCCTCTCCTCACAAGTGCATCTATAGGTCGGCGTCGAATATGCCCAAACCACCTAAATCTACCCCTCTTATTTTCTTGCTAATAGGCGCCACACCTAACTTCTTCCTAATCCTTTGATTAATTTATCTTATACTTCCTAGTTACTCCTAACATTCATCTTAACATACACATTCCCGCCACATGAATGCGTTGTTCATGTTTCTTTTTCTATCACCCAACATTCCGCAACATATAAAATAGCCGGTCTTATGATTGTTCTATATACTTTCTTCAATTTATTTGGTATTCATTTGTCGCATAATACCCCACTAGCATTCCTCCACTTTGTCTAATCTATTCCAACTCCACGCCTTATATCATCATCATTCTCTCCATCTTTTTGTACAATTGATCCCAAGTACCAGAAATAATTACTTTGAGTTATGTTTTAGTCTTGAATTTTTATTGCTATATTATGACCACCTATAGCACTACTAAATTTACATTCTATGTATTCTGTTTTAGTTTTACTAATTTTTAAGCCTTTTGATTCTAGAGTTGTTCTCCAAGCTTCTAACTTCAATGCTAAGGCTTCCTTAGAGCTATCTAATAGCACAATGTCATCCGCAAATAACGTGCACCATGGAAGTTCTGCTTGCAAGACTTTTGTTATTTCTTCCATGATTATCATAATAAATACGGACTTAGCGTCGAACCTTTGTGTAATCATACTCTTTTGGAAAAATCAATCGTCTCTCCACAAAAATAAGAAAACTCCAGACTTAGAATCCTTATACAGATCCTGAATAAGTTCTATAAGTCTCAAAGGAATATGCTTTCTTCGTAATGCCCGCCAAATCATGTCTCTCGGAACTCTATCACATGCCTCCACTAAGTCTATAAAAAAAACATGTGTAGATCTTTTTGCTTGATTCTACACTCCTCCACTAGTTGCTTTAATAGGTAAATGGCCTCTATAGTGGACCTTCCATGCATGATAACCTTTTACAATCTAAAAGTAACTTTTCAACGCTCATCTACTTTTATCTCACGAAGACCTTTACATCCCTCACCCTTTAAAAATTAGTAAAATTAAAAATCTAATATCATTAAATGTCTAATTTCCTATGTATATATTCTTTTCCCCATTCCTTATACCTAATTTAGAACAAAATTGATGTTATGTACACATTAAACTTAAGCGTGTGTCACTACATTTTTTACTTCTTTAAAGCACTCCCTTTATGGGTTTACTGCAACTTACAAAAGTCCTCAATCTACCACTCAGTTTCCTCAGACAATCATACTTTTCCTTTAATTCTCCAAGAACCTCTTTTAATATCCTTTAAATACATTTGATTCCTAATCTACATTACATTAATTCTCTAAAATCCATATTAATTCTTCTATATTTTTTTTATAAGTAATATTTGTATTAAAAAAGGCATTCAAAAGGGGGAAAATCCATACTAATTCTACTGACAATTTATTCTTACACAAATTGACTTCCTCCCTTTAAATTACGCCATTGAATTCTGGCATTTATGACCTTTTACACATTCTTGATTGCCTTTGAATATACATTTTAGAAATGTCAATCTACGTTGCTTGATCAAGCGCTCCTAATCCTTACAATTTGTGCAGGTCAAATCAATCTACTCTTCTAGTTAGGAAAAAAATCACTCTTATTCCTATTTGATACTCTTTGGCTATTAGATGTTCATTTCCCCTGTAATCTTTTTTTTTTAAATAAAGATGTACTATCAATCTAAACCCATTGGTGTGAAATAGCACGAGAACCTTAAGCATTTATCAGCCTCATTCCCATATAGCAATTCTAGACCATCCTTATATAATGAAAAAAAAAAAAAAAATTGGCCTATGAATCAAAAGTTCATGACTTTCATTAAAAGCATATTCACCCAAAAGTTTAATCAATAAGCCAGTTATACAAAAAAGTATGCAAAGGCCAACCACTACCTTGCACACAACACTAACTATGAAATCACATATGATGTCTAATTAAATCTCTGAAAAAAAATATTAAAAAATAATAATAAAAAGAATAATGGAGTACATACCGTTTTTACCGTAAATTCTTGAATGTTCTGCAACCTAAAAACAAGGAAACGAACATACCCTTGTAAAGGAGCCAAATACAATTAAATATTACTTTGACTATTTTCTCAAGATAAAACATTTTTTATGTAAAAGTTTTATTATGAAAAAAAAAAAAAAAAAAAAAAATCATTTTGCTTCTTATTTTCCGGTGTTTGATTGAAGTTTGAAAATCATTTGCCATATCTTAAAAAATACACAACAGATGCTTATATAAGCATATAAAATAATATAAAATGTGAATATTATATAGCCATGTATATGAGCAAGTATAAAAAATTATTAGGTACGTTGCAAACTTATATATTCAGATATATGGATTTGTGTGTATATTTATATAGTTAAATATACAAGAGAATATATAAGCGCATATGATATATGATTTTGTTAAACATATGTATATATTTACATGTTTGTTGTTCAGGTATATGAATTCCAAGTGAATATTATGATCCGTTAAGTCATTTCCAGATTTTAGAAGCTACTTTCATTTCCCAAATACATATTTAAAAGCATTTTCTAGTCAATCGAATCCATGAAAATGCTGAAATATTTTCTAGAAAAAAAAAAAAAAAAAAAAAAGGCTAAAAACACAAAATGAAACGGAGCATTAATATTGAAACAAACAACTGCTTAATAATTGCTAAAAAAAATTCTGCCCCGTTTCATTGGAATCTTAGTAACAAACTATGAACTTATTTTTTCAATATTAAACAACCATGTACCTGGAAATCTGTAAGACCTTTCGTTGGTTCCACATTGAAGAATTCCAGAACCTAATCAAATGATCAGTTAATCATAACATGCAATAAGAACAACTGAAACAATATTGAACACAAAACAAATGACTGAATTTAAAAAGAACAAAGTGAAATTCATACTATAGAACACTATTTTTGATTGCCAAGAAATCCCAAAAATAGAAAAGAGATGGGGAGATACAGTAAAAAACCAAAATCCAACTAAAGCCAAAACATTCCAGACGTTTCCATTGTAGCAGGATTGATTCGAAATTACCACCAAAGTATAATACTTTGGTGCATTGAAATTCTAAAAGAACCACCACAGGCTATAAGTTCCCCTTTCAGTAAGACCAATTCCAATATGTTTGGATGCAGAGAAACTCTAGGAGGGAAAAAAAAGGAAGAAAGGGAAAAGATGAAGTGCAATTCCCACTTTGAATCTAATTCCACTATGTTTGGTTGCAAAGAAACTTTAGGGAGGGAAAAAAATTAAAGGAAAAAGATAAATTTCTGCAATTCTCACTTTGAATCAAATACATAAACAGATTTTAAATATTTCAAATCGTTTGATTAAAAAACAAATTTCACACACACAGGTAGAGAGAGAGAGAGCTCTAATTTACCTCTCTGATGGATCTGGCGTACGCGTCCTCCATTGAGGAGATGAATTCGAAGGTGGCAAACAAAAGTATATCGAAACGATGAGTAATCCGATGAATTGAAGACTGTGGTACGACTGTTACTGAAATTCTACGAGGCTTTAATTAATTTATCAAATCAAAACACGAAAAGGGATTGAAATTGATATTCGATTGAAAATTGTTTCGAGATCTACGTGTGTGTCGGTGTTTTAATTGTCGCTGAACGTAAACGTCGCCTGTAGAGCTAGGGTTTATGAGTAACAACGTGTTTGACTGAGCCCTTGCACCTGAGCTATAAAAAAAAATTTGTGAGTCTGTTCAACTTTAGAACTCATGAATGACACGAGGCTCTCCAAAAATAAAATGAGTTGCTCCGTAAAAAAAATTTAAGGGGGTGTTTGGCAATGCTGAACATGAAGTATTCATGGAACTGCCTACTTATATATATATATAGTCATCCACTTTCCTAATAATAAACGGTTAAAATGCTCTCCAGTCAAGGGCATTTAAATATCTATTGTTTAGAAATTCTCTACTCTTCTACATACTTTTTCAATTTAATAATTTATAAACCTTTTGATGTTCTAGAGACACTACATGCCTCTTATTATTTCTAGTATTTTATAGTATTGAAATGAAAAAAAGAGTATATAAGACCTGAAAAGAAAAATAGTACAGTATAAGGCATGAGAAATTTTAAACAAAAAAGAAAAAAAAAAAAAAAAAAACAAAGAAGAAGAAAGTAGGATAAATTACATTGACCTCCTTTGTAGAATGCCCAAACAACATGGATCTTTCCTTTAGTTTTAAAAATAACATTGCCCACCCATCACCATAAAATCCGGCAGTATTTTTTTGCTGTTGTGATTGAAATTTGCTTAAGACCTAATTTTGCTCTTAGAATGCTTGATTTAACGGATATTCTAAATTAAATAATAATAAATTTTCAATTGGTGTAATTGCCATTTAACAGCTTCTGACAACGCTAGCAAAGAAGTGATGTTATTTTTGAAAGTTCTATGTTATTTAGGCATTCAATAGAGAGAGCAGCTTAATTTACCTAAAAAAAAAGGCATTATATTCAAACCTAGAAAGTACAGATGCTTTTAGGAGAGTAACATATCCATATCGAATACGTATTGGATACTGATATTCGACGAATACTTGCGAATACATGTCCAATACTTCTTAAACCTATCCATAATTTTAAAATATATTTTTTAATTTTTAACACGTATCCGATACTTCTTAGGTATTTTGTCTACCATTAACACTTCTCACATACTTCATAACACATTTTTTACAAATGTGAACATTAAAATGCAAATTTTCCAACAACAATATCATAGTATAATTGTTAAATTTTATTAAGCGATGACTTGGGATGTTTGTTTCCAGTGTTGTGAAACAAACTTCTATGTAATATTAAAGGTAAATTACATTGACCTTTCCTAAAGTTTGAACAAATCTCACACAAGTGGAGCGATTGAGGTTTATTATTTTGATCTCTGAGATTTCAAGTATATTGTGACCTTTTGAATTTTTTGATATTTTTTGATCATTTTTCTTTTTATTTATTTTTTATTTTATTTGTGCACGGGAATTTTATTTGTTTTTGCTTGTTTCAAGATGTATTCCCAAACATATTGTCGAAATTCCTAGAATTACTCCCTCTACCTCCGATTTAAATGATCAACACCTTGATTTGCCAAACCTCGCTCACCCATACCACCCCCATCACTCTTCAATCGCCTTTGCAACTCCACCCCATATTGTAACACAAATTGTCAAGTGAATTCAAAAGCATAAACCTTATCACCCATACCCCTAATCTGCTCCAAATTGACCACTATGGCCTTTTCTCGACCGAGAATGGTTGATGGGCGACGAAGAGTGGATCGAACAAGCAGAGATTGTGAGCGAAAGGCCACAGCGATGACAAATCATTGAACTTCTCGACTTCGATAATAATTTATCCAAATATTAATAACTGTATTTAGATTCATAATATTTTTAAAAATTTGACTCAAAAGAATTTCATCATTTTGTTCCCAAACGTACCTGATGACTTTTAGAAATGAAAAGAACTTTTTAAAAAAGTCATGTTCCCGAACAACTTTTTCCCTCAAATTCACTTAAACGAAGCCCTTCTTGCAAGTCCTTCTTCATAGTGGAAAGGACTTTTTAATTTGGTAAGCTCCTCCAAACGAAATCTTAATTTCCAAAAGTTTTATGGTTAGACCAATGGTTTTCTCTTTTTTGTTTTTTTTTTGAGTAAATGAATAAGTTAAATATAACTTACCCAAAAAAAAAAAAGGAAAAAAAAGAAAAAGAAAAAGTTAAATATAAAAAGAGACAAGAAAACAAAGCCCAGAGGCAAAAAGAGGCTCAATGCCAAACAAACCCAGCCCATCTACCTTAACCGTAGAACAAACAACAACTGAAATTTGAATCTACAAAGAGAGAAGAGCAAAGCACACAAAAACACTTAAGAAGAACCGTGCTTGGAAGACTCCAAATTTCAGCGACCGCTCTTCCTTCTCTGTTGTTGGGAAGGCAGATAGACAGAAGGCGATCGAAGACGAACTGTGTCATCAATCAATTTTGTCGTCAAAGGTACGTTTGTTTCTCTCCTTCCAAATTAAGTACGTAGATACAGGCTTACAGCTAGCGCGAGGCATAATTTGAATGTCATTACCAATGGGAACTTAGAATCAGGCGACCAAATTAACCGAAGTAATTTGGTCAACAATGGTGTTAATTTGGTAATGTCCGAAGTAGACTCCACATTTGTGTTGGAAAAATTGCCATATCCTTAGAGATTAGGGACGTACAATTGAAAAAAAGACTCTAATGAGATTCCACCTCAACAGAGCAAAGAGAGCATAGCAATGAAGTGGTTGAACCCCCATTGCCTGGTCTGTCCCTAGTTTTAAGTCTCCCATTGAGATCGAGCTAACCACGCAATCATGGCATATATGCCTTGGTGCAAGAGTATCATCTCTGTCAGGGTCTGGGATGGAGTTATTTGGCTTACATATATAATATTCTAAGAGCAAGTGGTGTGGGCAACACAAGTTATCTATCTACTTTTAAAAAAGTAGAGCGCCACATAAGCTAAAAAGTAATGATGTGGTACTCTACTTCTTTTTTTTTTTTATGAATATGTTCCATGGTGTGGAATCCAATTATCTCATTCTCTATTTATTATTTTATTATTATCCGTTTGAATTTAATGGTACGTTTGGAAGTAAATTGAGCCGTTGCCACCTTTTGCTTTTTTGCCTTCAATCAGATTCATTAAACAAAGGGAAAAAAGAATGGAGTATTCTCTAAAGACAGCTCTATCTATGGACAATAGCTGTAGGTCCCATAAGAGATATACTCCACTTCTTTCACCACACCACCCATTTCTTTCTCCTAATTGACACATTTCTACTCTAAACATAATGCCGCCCCGGATGCTCAAACCAAACATAGTCCTTGCCTGTTGCTATGCAGGATTATATATGAAATGACTATTGTGCCTGTTACTTGCCGGATTATTTATGGAACCACTTCTTGAAACCTATAAATTTGTAAGACCAATTAAATTGGAACTTCAATTTAGTTTTATAATCTCTTTTGACCTTGTCTTTCTTTATTTTTATTATTATTTATTCATTATTTTATTTTTTGGCTTCCCTGCAAGTGTTATTACTCGTCATACCCTTGTTTAAATGCAATTAGTTGGCGTATTACTAGTTGTGTTGATGCACCGTTAACTAAGAAGGGTGTTGAAGAGGCAATTGAAGCTGGCAAGAAAATAAGCAATAAACCTATCTATATGACTGTAGGTGCAAAAACCGTACAATACGCTTAGAATAAAACGAATAATAGAACAATACTCAGCAGAAAATTGCTTATATCTTTAGTGGGAAGTCTATGCCTCTATTTATAATCCTAATTTATATAGGGTGAGTTAGGCTAGGATTCACATTGCTTGTCCCTAGCATTTGTTTCCTTACGGTACAAGTTTATAGTAACTATGACTCTTTATCCATGTGGGATTCGGTGTTCATGGGCCGGACCATTGCTTGAGAATGGACCGGTGATTCAATGAGCCGCCGCTGGGTTAGGCCTTAATTATAAGCCTTCTGGGCCTTCGTATTGGGCCTTGACCTGGTGATCCATCAACTGGCCCATTCTGACTTATTGTTCGTGGCCCCTACATTCTGACATGGCAGACCTCTATTGGAGGGAGATTTTTCCCTCCACAATAGTATAAATATATGCATGATGCATCTAAGCTGATTCATGCACAGCTAACTGCTATGACGAAGCATTGTCGAAAGAAGGTAATTTGTGCAAACGCATAGATGTCTTGGAACATACTATTTTCGTGCACACATTAGGGATCTTGTTAGCTTTATTGGTTAGATTATGTTGATTGTCTGATGTAAAAGCATTAAAATTGATCCTATTTGCATATTTTAGCAAATGCACTACTAAGTTGTGCTGGTACTTGTCCTTCTATCAAACACTTTTTAAGTTATGATTATTTGAGAAAAACTTTGTTATATTTGGTTTGTAATTTTGAAAATAATTTTTAAAAATTCAAATAATAGAAAATAGTTCTCAAAGAACAATAAAAAACAGTTATCTGAAAATAGATCTTTTTATAATTAAGTTTTATAAAATTAAACCAAGTAAAATTTTTTGTATAGTTTACAGTTTTCAGAATTATAAACCAAACAGACCCTTTCTCTCTTTTAAGATCCATCTCATAACCTACCGATATACTTTCTTATTGTTCCTCTTCCTGTTATTCCCTTTATACGAATTTTTAATTTTTTTTTTTTTTTTTTTTTTTTTTTTTGCAATAAGTAAAAAAATTTATTCAAAACAAAAAAGAAAATTACAAAAGGCCGAGGCCAAGAGAAAAGCCCGAAGGCAAGACAAACCGCCCCCCATTTCCGTGACTTAAATAGTTTCGTCACTTAGCACAAAATTTGTGTTTCTTTGAAATAACTACTATTGTTTTTGGAGTGCGTCCATATTGACCAAGTCTCCCCTCACCTTAGAAATAAATAATAAGAAAGGTTGTAAAAGTTATTAGATTGAAAAACTATCTATATTACTGAGTACTTTGATAGATATGACTTACAATTTTTAGAAATATTCAGCTCACGAATATTTTCATGTTCAAATCTTCCCTCTCTAGAAATCATATGAAGCATGTAGTGTTGTACAGGGATTGTAAAAATTATTAGATTGAAAAAGTATCTAGAAAGGTAGAGAGTTTGTGAACAATAGATATTTAAGTGGAGAGTCTTAAAATTATTTAGTATTAGGCGGAGAGTCTTAAAATTATTATTATTATTTTTTGACCGTTAACTCCATTGTTATCATCACCCACATTCAGAAGATAATAAGAACCAACATGTATACATATACATGTGTGTATATATATGACTAGAGAGAGACCACATATAGAGCAAACCCTAAAGCTCTCTTTAATCGTCTCCTTTAAACTACCATACCACAAAGAAAAGAGAAAATACCATCCCCATAATTAAAGAGGACACCCACAAAAACTAAAACTAATAGTAGGAGCAAAAGAGAAACGTGGAAAACTCCAATGTATAAAATAAAAATTCCAATGGCTTTGCCTACTATAACCTACTCGACCTAGAAATAATCAATTGTATTATCAAAAACAAGTAGTAAATATAAATGGATAAAGAAATAGTGGGATCATCGTTTCGGCCTTCCCTTCGCTATACACCGGAGCCCCTTAATCAATATTAGATCACCCGCAATCTCGGGCAAAATGCCCTTTCCCCCACAGTTGAAGCAACCGTAGCCTCCACCTCCACCTCTACCTCCGCCTCGGCCGCCATAACTTCCACCGCCTCCGCCTCCCCCACCCCGATAGCAGTCACTCACCATATGTCCACTCTTGCCACACTTGAAACAAGCGTTACCACCGCCGACTCCGCCGCTACTTCCGCCTTGGCCACCATAACTTCTACCGCCTCCGCCGCCGGCTCCCCAACCCAGATAGCAGTCCCTCACCATATGTCCAGTCTCGCCACACTTAAAACAATCGTTACCACCGCGGCCTCCGTCCCTTCCGCCTCCACCTCTACTTCCACCTCCTCTGCCATAAGCTCCACGGCTTCCGGGACTCCCCTGAACCCTCTCCTCGTTTGGACCGGTGACGTCGACAGCTTTGTTACGGTCACGGCCCGATTCGATCAAGAACTCGACCGATTCACCAACTGCGAGACTCCAAAAGCCCCTGATGTTTGACTTGTGAACATAGAGATCCTCAACGTCATCGTCGGGAGTGATTGTGCCATAACCATCACTATCGTCGAACGAACTCACCACCCCCATCATTCTGCCGCTATCTCCCTCCTCCATTGAAACCCAAATCCAACCCTCTTCACACAAAACCCTAACTCGGAGCGAGAGAGCAAACCCAACCCTACTCGTCTTAAAATTATTTATCTTGACCCTTGATTATAAAGTTTTTTAACTGTTCATTAGAGGTAGGATGCCTATAAATAGGTAGGCATCTCCTATATTCACGTAAGAAATATACGAGGAATGTATGACGTTCTAAAAAAAAATATAACCTATTTTAAAATAAAATTTATCTCTTAAAAATAAAATTATCTTTTAATTTTTTTTTTTAATTATCTTTTTTGTATCAAGGAATGAAATAAAAGCAAAAATATATATATATATACTACACTTATATGAATTGAGGGAGGAGATACAAAAAAAGGATTTAAAAGGTAATTTTGTCTTTAAAAGGTGAATTTTGTTTTAAAGTAGGTTATATTTTTTACGTTTTTTTTAATAATAGAGAAAGGGTAATTAATGAGACTTCGTTTGGTTGGAGGGATGGAAAAATAAATAGAAGGGATAGGAGAAAGGATGGATGAGGCATTTCTAGGGAATGGAAGGTGACTCTCATTTTTTGTTTGGTTGAATAGAATGAATAGTATAAATGATGGATGGAGTGACACATTTTTTTGTTGGAAGGAAGAGTTTTTATATTCTTTTTACTAATATGCCCTCAGTATTTAAAAATTTAAAAATTCTATATCTATTCCAAATTTTTAGAAAGGTTAGAGATGAAAAATCGATATTTGTGTTGATTATTATTTCTTTCTCTTTCCTCTTTCTCCCAATTTTGGGCGGATAGAGAAATACAAAGGGGGATCCTTCCTTGCTTCCTCCCGCTTTTGCCTTCTTTTCAACCAAACACGAAAAAGTTAGTTTATCCCCCTTCTTATCTATCCCTCCTCAATCCTTCCCTCTAACCAAACATAGTATTAAAGTAATCAATGAGGGGAGCGACTATCATTCCTCAATATATATATATATATATATATATATATATATATATATACACACACACACTGATGGTCCGTGGAATCTTTACAATAAAAGGTGGCAATTAATGTACATAAGCATCTAACAAATTATTCCTTCTTTATTAATCATTATTCCCGGTAATCCATAAATTTTATTACATTGAATCTCCAAAGCTCCATTGCATGAATCATAAACAACTGAATACTTATTCAAGTTATATCGACTACTTGGCATTCGTTTTGTGCAAGATCGACACCAAACGAGACACGAAACTCGGGAATGCGGATCCTCAATGTGCAGTAGCAGCGAATCTAACCCGGCGAGACCAACCACATCTTTACAAGAGTTTGGTCCTAATTTTGTCTGGCATGTAAATACTTTTCTAAACTATTACAACTGAATTAACTAATACGCGTACCCTTGTATCGATCAGTGTACGTGACTTGTCAAAATAGCTTCTTTATTTAGGACAAAACTTGTGTTTGCTTGAAATAATTACTATTATTTTTAGAGTGCCCGAGTATATCATGTTCTAAGTCACCCTCACCCTAATTTGACAAGATATATATATATATATATATATATATATATATATATATATATATATATAAATTAATGAATTCTATCTAATGTTCATTTGCTGTATAAAATTTTGGCATTTACTATCTAAAGATTGTTTGTTGTGTAAAGTTTTTTTATTTATTTATTTATTTTTTTTTATGATTAAGCAGAAGTGTTTAACCTTATAGAATAGCACAATGCAATTATCACTAAGACAATACAGAGATAACTAATGGAAGAAAATTGTACTACGTATAAAGGAGGAAAACAAACAAAAACAAAATTTAGTTCTTAGATCTCACGAACCTACTAATTTATAACATGCACAAAAAAATTCCTAAACTAAACTAATGCTAACATCAACATCATGACTAAAATGTTAAAACATGAAAAGCATAGGAATTGAATTGTAAATTTCTGAATGAATAACAAATTGATCTATCACTTTTTCACACTACATCTTTATAAGATTTATTGATAAAATTTTATTTAATCTAAATAGAACTTTTTTTAACACAAAAAAATAACAAAATAATAACTAACTAATTATAAATTAATAACATCTTTCACTGTATTCAAATAAAATAATTAAAAAATATCACATTTGACTTGCATTATATATTTTTTCCTTTTCTCATGTGTTATGTATTATGTAAATTTTCAATTAACTCATTCTTAAATCTATTATTATTCATTAAATTAGTAATAAATATAATTACTAAGCAACAGGGGCTTTAACTATAGCCCTTTTGATAATAATGAGAAGAAAAAAAACTATAACCCTAAAATCTACTCTCTTTTCTTTTTTTAAGAAAATTCAAAATTTGAGAATATTTTTCCCATTAAATTTTCCCCGTAAACTAAACAAAGCTTTAATATTGAATTTTTCCTAAAGGTGTGGCTTTATATTATGAGATATATATACTCCAAAACTCTTAATTGCTAATGGACTCAAACCCCTCCTATACTCTCTTATTAGTTCCACTCAAAGTGCCTTCGTCACGGGAAGGCCCATACATGACAATGTCATCTTAGCCTATGAGATAATTCACTACTTGAAATCTAAGAAAAGTTGAAAGACTAGGTACCTAGCCCTTAAGGTTTGACATAGCTAAAGCCTATGACAGTGATAACGTTGAGTGGAGCTTTTTAGAGGAATGTTGAGGAGGTTGGGTTTCCATGATAGATGGACTAATTTGTTTATGAGTAGTGTAAAATTGGTACGTACCGTTCTCAATTGTTATAAATAGTGAAGCTGGCTCCATATTCTCTCCTTCTTGGGGTGTTAGGAATTATGTCTTAAATTTTTATTATTATTAGTTTCTATTTTAGAGTGTATTTTTTATGGTAATTTCTTATTGAGACGTGAATTAGGTTATAAGAAATTGTAATTCTTGTCCACAAAGGAATTGGGTATGTGACTCTATAAATAGACACTTAGGTTATTGTTGAGAGTTATGAGTTGAGAGAGGTGTAATCTCATGAGGGAGTACGATGCTGGTAGGGGTGAGTTACGGGTTTGGTAGAGTGAACACTGATGGCGAGAGGGAGTCTCATGAAGTACACAGAGAACTCAGGAAGAGTTTGTGTGTATAGTCCGGTGTTGAAATTCTCTACTATTGTAATATCTCTACATATATAGTAAATTTCTTCTCATCCGTAAATGAAACTCTGATTTTGGGTGAACCACGTATATATCTTGTGTTGTGATTTGAATTGTTTTCTTTCTTTCTTTTGCTTCCGTTGTGTCCTAACAACTAGTATCAGAGCCAAAGGTGAAGGAGATCCAGAAAACACAAGAAGTCTCAACATGTGCTACAACAGCCTTCAGTTGTAGGTGGAGTCAATCGGCTTGGTTACATGGCATGGAGCTTGAGTAGTCAAGGTGGAGCCTTGGGGTTTTGACTAATTGAGCAACGTATAGTGGGGATAATCCGAGTTTTGCAATAAGATCGAGAAGATTGAAGTGGCAGAGAATTGTCCAGATTCAATTGCCATGAGAAGCGATGATTAACGTAATGGAATTTGAGCCAAGGTGGAGATTGTTAGGAATTATGTCTCAAATTCCCATTATTATTAGTTTCTATTTTAGAGTATATTTTTTATGGTAATTTCTTATTGAGACGTGAATTGGGCACTAAGAAATTGTAATCCTTGTCCACAAAGGAATTGGGTATGTGACTCTATAAATAGACACCTAGGTTATTGTTGAGAGTTATGAGTTGAGAGAGATGTAGCCTCATGAGGGAGTACGATACTGGTAGAGGTGAGTTACGGGTTTGGTAGAGTAAACACTGATGGCGAGAGGGAGTCTCGTGGAGTACACGGAGAACTCAGGAAAAGTTTGTGTGTATGGTCCGGTGTTGAAATTCTCTACTATTGTAATATCTCTACATATATAGTGAATTTCTTCTCATCCGTGAATGTAACCCTGATTTGGGGTGAACCACGTATATATCTTGTGTTGTGATTTGAATTGTTGTTTTCTTTCTTTCTTTTGCTTCCGTTGTGTCCCAACAGGGGGCTGAGACAGGAAGACCCTTTGTCCCCATACTTGTTCTTATTTTGTGTTGAGGGTCTTTCTACTCTTCTTTGAACAAGCAACGTAGCAAGAGAAGATTCATGGTGTTTCCTTATGAAGTTATTTTCTTGCTCTATGATCTCAAAGGCCCTTCCCTGGTTTGGCCTCGAAGGCAATGTAATAGAGTGGCCCATCTTCTCAGCAAGTGTGCTTTAGCTAGGAAATCCACTAATCTAGAGTGGAATATTAATGTATGGCCTTCATGGCTATCGGTAGCCATTGAAGCTGAGTTTCCTTGTGCTTCTTAGGGCTTGTTTGGTATAACTTTTGCTTCCGCTTTTACGAAGAAGAAAAAGAGAAGCAAAAGGTATCACTTCTATTTAGCTTATTTGTTAGTGTTTGGAAACTGTATTTTAGAATAACTTTTAATAGTAAAAGAGTTTTTCAATCTGTTTGGCAAAATATTTACGGAAGCTCTTCTACTACTAAAATAATTATTTTGCCCTAAGAGTATTCTTTAAAATTATCGTAACTTGTTTTTTTGTAGCTCTTTCTCTAAAGACATACAAATAAACTACTCAATATAATCAAATTTATCCACAACATGCCATATAATTAATAATACTAATAATAACAATTAAGAGATGTTTAGAAAATTTTCATTTTGACAATAGGGTTTGGAAATAGAATTAAGTTTTTTTTTATAGGGATATGGTTGGAATTATAATTTTTTATGAGATAATATAAAGGATACGCTTGTCATTTAAAAAGTTTCATTAATGTCCCCAAAAAGCTCTTCTAAGCCCGAAAAGCTCTTTTTAAAAACTAGCCAAACATTACCCAAAACAGCTTCTAAGTCCAAAAAGCCAAAAGTAGCGTTTGAAAAGTCAATCCAAACCGGCTCTTAGTTTCTTTGTTTCTTTATGTCAGGTTCAAAAAAACAAAACCTTAAAATATACATTTTCAGGACCTTAAAAGAAAATAATAATAATAAATTATCAATAAATCTTAAGGCTCTATATGGTTAGATGGAAATAAATTTTTTTTTTT